GGTGATTCTTTAGTATGATAATTAGTCAGACAGACAAACAGACAGACAGATATGATGATTCTTTATAGTATGATTATCAGTCAGACAGGCAGACAAACAGACATGGTAATTCTATAGTATGATCATCAGACAGACAGACAGAAATGGTGATTCTTTAGGATGATTATCAGTCAGACAGGCAGGCAGACAGACAGACAGACATGGTGATTTGTCTGTATTATAACCAGACAAACAGACAAATATGGTGATTCGTAAGTAATATTATCAGACTGACAGACAAGGTGATTCTTTGGTATGATTATCAGTCAGACAGACAGAGAGACATGGTGATTAGAGTATGATTATCAGTCAGACAGACAGAGAGACATGGTGATTATAGTATGATTATCAGTCAGACAGACAGACAGACATGGTGATTACAATATGATTATCAGTCAGACAGACAGACAGACATGGTGATTACAATATGATTATCAGTCAGACAGACAGACAGACATGGTGATTATAGTATGATTATCAGTCAGACAGACAGACAGACATGGTGATTATAGTATGATTATCAGTCAGACAGACAGACAGACATGGTGATTACAATATGATTATCAGTCAGACAGACAGACAGACATGGTGATTACAGTATGATTATCAGTCAGACAGACAGACAGACATGGTGATTACAGTATGATTATCAGTCAGACAGACAGACAGACATGGTGATTACAGTATGATTATCAGTCAGACAGAAAGACAGACATGGTGATTAGAGTATGATTATCAGTCAGACAGAGAGGCAGACATGGTGATTAGAGTATGATTATCAGTCAGACAGACAGACAGACATGGTGATTATAGTATGATTATCAGTCAGACAGACAGACAGACATGGTGATTACAATATGATTATCAGTCAGACAGACAGACAGACATGGTGATTACAGTATGATTATCAGTCAGACAGACAGACAGACATGGTGATTACAGTATGATTATCAGTCAGACAGACAGACAGACATGGTGATTACAGTATGATTATCAGTCAGACAGACAGACAGACATGGTGATTAGAGTATGATTATCAGTCAGACAGAGAGGCAGACATGGTGATTATAATATGATTATCAGTCAGACAGACAGACAGACATGGTGATTAAATATATATTATTATAACAGTAACTTGATCCGAAGAGCCGTATCACGTTGAGATGACAGGCGCGGATCATCAGATCAAACGAGACGCGAAGCATCGAGTTTGATCTGATGATCCGCGCCTGTCAACGAGACGTGATACGGCTCTTCGGATCAAGTTACTGTTATAATGATAAATTTATTATATACCCCTTTACAACTAGCAAAGTAAAATAAAAGGAAACTTTTTGGATCAATTACATAACTTTTATCCATTAAACAAACCATTTTGTCGAGGAACTTTTTGATGCACGAGAATAAAAACGTCATTTATCTGTGTACTACGTCATCAGTTTCAGAGAGGGGTGATATGGATTCAGAAAACCACAGTGTGGTGATTCGGAACGTCGGATCACACCGTCACGTGATTGTGTGAATTCAACAGTAAAACTGAGTGACAAACAGTTGGGTATATAAAAAAGTATTATTATCAGTCAGACAGACAGACAGACATGATGATTAGAGTATGATTATCAGTCAGACAGACAGACAGACATGGTGATTATAGTATGATTATCAGTCAGACAGAGAGACAGACATGGTGATAACATATATATTATTATAACAGTAACTTGATCCGAAGAGCCGTATCACGTCAAGTTGACAGGCGCGGATCATCAGATCAAACGAGACGCGAAGCGTCGAGTTTGATCTGATGATCCGCGCCTGTCAACGAGACGTGATACGGCTCTTCGGAACAAGTTACTGTTATAATGATAAATTTATTATATACCCCTTTACAACTAGCAAAATATAATAAAAGGAAACTTTTTGGATCAATTACCTAACTTTTATACAGTAAACAAACCATTTTGTCAAGGAACATTTTGATGCGTGAGAATAAAAACGTCATTTACCTGTGTACTACGTCATCAGTTTCAGAGAGGGGTGATATGGATTCAGAAAACCACAGTGTGGTGAATGTCGGATCACACCGTCACGTGATTGCATAAATTCAACAGTAAAACTGAGTGACAGACAGTTGGGTATATAATAAAGTATGATTATCAGTCAGACAGACAGACAGACATGGTGATTATAGTATGATTATCAGTCAGACAGACAGACATGGTGATTAGAGTATGATTATCAGTCAGACAGACAGACAGACATGGTGATTATCGTATGATTATCAGTCAGACAGACTGACAGACAAGGTGATTCTTTGGTATGATTATCAGTCAGACAGACAGACAGACAGACATGGTGTTTACAGTATGATTATCAGTCAGACAGACAGACAGACATGGTGATTATAGTATGATTATCAGTCAGACAGAGAGGCAGAGTGACTCTTAAACACCCAATTTTATGTTAACGCCCCCAAAATTTACCTAATTCGAGATCAATAATATAGCGCCTGTCAGTCATTCAAAAAACAATAGCTACTGATTTGATTGACAGGCCAGCTACCTGTGCTACCTGATAATCTGAGTTTGCATGTTTCGGAAACAATTACCTGGTCACATGTAAAACGCTTTCATGTACCGCATGGTCGCTTTGTATGTATACACTCTGGTAAAAAAAAAAATCAGAATGCTGTAAATATTGTTTGGTAATTATATTTCAAAATATATTTGAGAGTAGATAATTAAACATTGACTTTATGATTTTATTTTTTCAATCTCCATTGTTGTTTGGTACTTGTAAGTGATATGACATCCAAGACAACTCAACGTTAGAACTTTCCGAAGAAAAACTATAGCGGATATTCGAGGTTTTGTTTTAAATTGCAATTTGGAAGTGTCGTTCTATTTTTAGCAAAATTTGTTATTAAAGTCAAACAGATTATAAATTAAAAATCAATCTACACCACTCGGTGGAAGAAATGTTACAATCATTGTTCGAATTTCCTCTAACGTATATTGAAAATATTGAAGATAACGAACAGTGATCGATCTTTTTTTTTCTTCTTTTTTTTTAAGAAAAGTTTACAAACAATACAAATCTGTGAACAGGGCATAAAAACATGGACCCTGGAAATTGCAGTGGTGAATACTTTGGACACGATTGTTGGCCAGAAAAATAAATAATATTCTGGCTATGGTACATGGTGGATTGTCCACACGATAAATGAAATCACTTTATTTCAATATTTACACCTATTGAATGATGATTTCTTTTACTGACGATTAAAGAATATTGATATGATTGCTTTGTGGTTTTCACTCGTGATTTTATTTTTATTTTACTTTTTTCCTTAAATAAAAAAGAAGATATTTCTATATAATGTTTTTTCCTTCAAAAGATATCGATGAAAACGTTAACTAATTTTATATCAAAATATAAAAATTATTTACAATAGTGTCTCTCAAAATTAGACAAAAACGCGTAATGTTGATCCTGATTACCAAAGACAGACTTACTGTACATGTACTACAATGTGTATAGGGATTTTTGACATCTTGAGTATTGGGGCTCTCCAGGTAAATAACATCAGTACTATCAAGACCACTCCCTCTCCTCAGGTAACCGTACAGTAAAAAATTGGGTCTTTAAATGTAACAATCAGACAGACAGACAGATTTCAGTACATAGACTGACATGAAATATCCTTTAATGGTACATGTAGTATACAGTAAACATGCAGAGAGACAGGATGAGTCCTGCACACATAAATATACAAAATGTGTACTTATTTTAGTAGGATTTTTTTTTTGGTTCCTTGTTCGTCCTAATTTACTATCACTGTATAACGTTTAATTATTGAACTTTGTCTGCACTGACTCATGATTGCTTCAAACATTACATGACCTACCACTGCACCAATTAACTTTTAGAGGACAGACAGAAATGTTGACCCCTGACCTCTCTTCTCCTTAACTTTGATTACAGGGACAAAGATAAAACATAAAATAGTTTAAATGTACAGCAGAATGCATGATTGTGCATACCGGTATTAGATATGTCCTGTAGAGTAGAATCATTCAGTTCAGAGTACTTATGTTTTATACATATTAAGATGTGCAATGTTTAGTAACGTACAGGGACTAACTGGAAATAAAATTTTTAGCTATATTATGTATTTAAGAGTTTAGAAGCAAAATCATTCTAAATACACACATATTTAAGTAACTCATTACAATATGAAATCAATGGGATCAGAGTTTACTTCTTATTTCCAGACCTTTAGATCTGGAAAGTGAGTATATATTGGATATTTAATGCTTTGTAGTTGGATATGGAATTTATCCCACAAGTTGGACATGCAAAGCATGAATGAAAATATTTTTTTAAAAAATCCTGTCTCACAAGTGCAATAAATCCATATCCAACTACAAAACATTGAATTTTCCATTTATTACATTTTCTTTAATTAATTTTCTTGATTTGTCTCTTTCTTTTCTTAACACAGAGTCAATTAAATGCTGTAATGTCACAGATGAGCAGTTGTGAGATATCATAGCTAAGCAATTGTGAGATTGAGAATGGAGAAACTTTGGCAGTTTTAGTCTGTGTCAGGATGGTTAATATTTACTCGTACTATATCTTAATAGGGAGTATATTTTCTTTATAACACTATTTGTGAATGGAATGAAAATCTCTAGTTTTGCCACCCTTTTGATATTTTCACAGTGAAAAATATCACTTTTGATAGTTTTCACAGTGAAAATATATTATTTTCAAAAATATCACTTTTATTCAATGGGTAAATAATAGTAATTTTCACAGTTGAAAACATAAGTTTGTGACAAAGACATAAAGATTTCATCTCATTCTCTCATCACACCTTTATATACATACTCTGCTCCCTAAATGTCCAAAAGATACGAAATGTCATAATATTAACTTTATATTGACTTAATTACAATTACCTCTGCAGCGAAAGTCTTGCTGACCATTTTATCGTGTAATGTTTTCTCGCGTTTAACCTTGGCCTCAAACTTCAGTGACACGTCTCCTCGTAAGACGTTAGGATTGTTGGTAGGTGTTTTATCTTTATCTTTGTAAACATCTGAAAATGAATTCAAAAGCATACAATAAAATATATCTGCTGTTTTGTACTGTCATGTATTTTGTTGTGTGTCTATGTTCTATCACATGCTCTGTCTGTATTTCACAATCCTGGATAATTAAATGCTAAAACTAAAAAAAACTATAATTTTATGGCATAAAAATACAAATATCATTATACTAATTGTAGATTCTTTAGGGGAAAAAAAATGTCATGGCTAATATTTAATTCCAATTTTTTATTAAATCAATCAGAGTATAAGCATATCAGTTAGAAATGTGAAGCAATTTGTGAACCCATGAAAAATATTTTACAAAGAGAATAAAACATTTATGTTCTTGTATGAAAGTGCAATAAGGCTTAAAAATCCAATATATTCATTTCTCACAGAGTGACATGCAATTTTCTTAAACGCTGATCAGCCGTGAAATGTTTTATGAAAACAAAGCATTCGTGTATGTTAATGAGATTGGAATGGATTTGTTGATGAAGACGACTCTAGAATTTTGTTTGTTTTCAGTTTCCTAGATGACAGAATTATTATTATTTAAGAACAGTGCACTATAATCTTAAATCTGTTGTAAATCAACAAAAAATAACCATGTGCATTGTTATCACATCTTGATGTACCTGGAGTATCAAATTCAATGTGTTCATGATCTAAAAAGTTTGGAAATATAATCAAAACATATAAGTATGTTTATGCAATATTAGCTATATTTAAACCCAAAAAATTGATATATCTGATATTTTCCAACAATTATTTTTAAGTAAAGTTTAAATAGTAAATAGTTTAAGAGCGTAAGTCTTGTAAAAATGTTGTGAAAAGTATTTACACTCTGGCCCCAATAATGTGGTAAAGACATTGTCAAAACTGTCAATTCTACAGTGTCTAGCTTTATGATTCAAAGATATCTTCTGGAATATTTAAACCCAAACTGTGTCTGGGAATTATTTTTACTCCAGTGCTGGCATTAATTATGCAACTAAGCAACATTAATCTTTCTGTAAACAAAAGGTTACGTACAAGGTACAAGAAATCTGAAGTGTATAAGATATAAGAAATGTTTAACTTTGAGATTTATTGATATACATAGTGTTAATAAACCAACACTTAAAATTTTAAAGTCACATTTTATGACTTCTCCAATTCATGAGTTTTTTAAAAACCAAGCAAGGAGACCCCTTTTTTTACTATGGATTTCTGCCGACCTTGTCAAAAGCCACAGTGAAAATTATTGCCATTTTAAAATCATTGATATATATTGAATAAATATAATTAGCTATATAATAGGTAATAGCTATAAATGTAGTATTGTTGCCTCCATTTACAAAGTTTAATTCCATCAAATTAGCCCCCCTAGGTCTGTACCATGTCTCTCAATATTTAACATTAAAGTTCTTTGCCGCCTGATATCGTTTCATAAAACATTTAGTTGGTGACATATATCTAGTGAACTCCTTCTCTCCCCAAAATTCGGACTTAATGAACATGCACTGATGTAAAGTAACATATTCTGTAAATGAATATAGACAAAAAGATTGAAATTCCAAAGTCAATGAATTTGTATTTGTCTCAAAATGAAGTGATTCTCATCAAGAATTCCCAAGACAGTGGGGGGGGGGGGGGGGGGTTAAGATGACCCATGGGGTATATAACAATTTTCTAATAAAAATGTATCGGGGTGGGTGCAGATACACTGTATACTGCCTATGCTCGTATAGTTCAATATATGATTTAACAATTTTTGGAATCCTTTACAAACTTCTTCCAGAAGTGTATTTTTGTAATATTAATCTGGGAAAGGGTTATATTCCTTTAAACAGGTACAGTATATTTTTTATATGAAACATTTTTTAATTATTCATAAAGTACACAAAAAAATTAAATTTGTAAATTATATAAAATACTGCATGTACTGTATCTGTTTAAAATACACAACATAAATAATACGTCAAAAGATAAATCATAACATACCACTTCTTAACTTTAAGAATTTCGGTATTTGTCAGAGTTCCCTAGAAATATAGCAAATGCTCTCAAGCGATACACAAATTTTGCCTTTCCCTCCTACAGTTACTAAAAACATTTCGTCTCTGTCAAGCTGCAAACTCATTATACTCTACCTGGAAAAATTCTTGACTGAACACATCCCATTTCTATCCATCATATATCAAAAATCATCTTTACAGGTTAAAAAAAATATTATTTTGTTCACGTTTCCCTCGTGTACCTGACATTCTAAAGGTGTGCTGTTAACTTGTACTTGTTTGTTTACCATACGACAACCGGACTACGCATGAGTAATCAACAACTAATAGTTCAAGAGATGTTCCGAATTGATCACAAATTAGTCGTCTCAAAATGTATTTTTTTTTTAATGTGTTATATATGCAGTCCAGATTTTAAAAAAAATCTATTATATTGTACAATGTGTGATTGTTTCTACATTATCTAATGCTGTTTTTTAGATAGAGATTTAAACGAATTTTGTTGCTTGAAAATAAGTTAAATGTATTCCCCCCAAATGTCATTGAACTTTTATGTTTAGAATTATTTTGTGCATGGAGGGTATTATATAAATATTGCATGTAGTTGAGTGTAACATTGAAAATTTTCACTCCAAGAAAACCATTGTCAACCGAGGGGTGAAAACTTTCAATGTTACGCTCAACTACATGCGATATTTATTATATTATACTGAAGGTTTTATATAAATATTTATTACAGTGAACCTTGCGCGCATAAATTCTGCGCAGTCAATATTTTTTGGAATATCACCCGTTGTCAAGCAATGTTGACTGCTACCACGATGGAGGGCGTGGCTTCATTATTCAGCGGGTAATAGTGTTTTTTAACAAATGTTTCTCGACAAATCAGACTCAACTAATTTACATGAAAGTATAATAAATTTGTTTAATGTATGTATGACTTGCGCATTGCGCCACATGTGCATGGTTTTTGTCAAAATAAATTAATAATAGGGGCCTATATAATATGTATCATGATGGAATTCAGTTTTACACAGACACATCATCCTAACAACGTCAGGTGTTGACTCAGGACCCCTGACTTGAGGACCAGGCACTTAGTCTTTCTTTCTTTTTTCTTCTTTTTGGAAAAAGGAATAATTGACAACGAACCTGAGAAATCTTTGACGAGAGAGAGAGAGAGAGAGAGAGAGAGAGAGAGAGAGAGAGAGAGAGAGAGGGAGAGAGAGAGAGGAAAGTGACAATACTGTATTATTTATTTTATCTAAGTGAAAAGTATGAACCCAAATAAGTGACGGGTGTGGATGGTGTGTGTGTGTAAGTACATGTATCTCATAAATATAATTTAGATGCTTATCTGTATGATTACTTTGTTTATTAGGAGAAAATGTAAATAAGAAAAAAAAAAAGAAGATTGTTCCAAACTCGAAAACCCTTTTTTGGGAGGGGGATGTTAGGTTTCAACTTTTTAGACAAAAATGTTATATATATATATATATATATATATATATATATATATATATATATATATATATATATATATATATGGGAGGATTTGACCATACTACAGAAAAGGGGGCAACCAATCTTCATTTCAAAATATATTTTCAAATTAACAAATTAACGGTAAAAAGACTTGGAAAGGGGGAGGGGCTGCCCCCCTCCCCTCCCCCCCCCCCCCAAGTACAACGTGGCTGCTAAAAACGAAACAAATCAAACAAACAGTAAAAGCTAACCCCATACTGGAAATTATTGATGGAGTTGGGTTTTTTTTGCATGTTGTAATTTTCAATTTACTGCGTGAAAGTAAAAACAAAATTTGCAACATAGCAGCCGCAAAATACAGTACAATTTTTAGTGAAAGTGCATGAGGAAAGCTAGGTAGAATTATTATCTTATATAAATTTCGCACAAGTACACATACATTGCATTGCCAAGTTTCCAAGTCAACATACGAGTTACTTCTGGTTGAGGGAATGGCGCCTGATCCAAGAGAAATCACAAAGAATACTGAACGAAAAGCAGGAATACGTGGATACATGCTCTTTATATTCTGAATTCCGTCTCAAAACCAGCTTCTATCCTATGGTATGTACGTCAGTCAGCATGCCTCTTATGTTCATTCAGGAAGCTCTTTATCCTTATTGTTTGTTTATAATTGGTAGTTACTAAATGATACATTAAAAACTTGTGTGTCCAAAGTTTAACGAACTTCTTTATAAACAATCGGGACGAGATGACACATGCATATTATTTATATAAAAAAGGATAGTTCTTTAAAGTTGTAAATCAGCTTTAAAATAGACTCGACAAGGAAGGAAAATGGGCAATGTCTGCGTTAAACATAAGGTTTTCTTTTTTCTTTTTAGATTTCATCTCTCTCTCTCTCTCTCTCTCTCTCTCTCTCTCTCTCTCATTAAACTCGATATCATAGCAAATATATATTTTATTCATATTCTTATAAAGCTATTATTGACAATAAAATCATAACTAATGTATACTCTTTGTTAAGTCATGTCCACCTCTGCCATCGCTCCCCCTTCTTGCTCTGATTGTAATCATACTAAATTACATGTGCTTCACACCAATCAATTAAAATCACCGGGGGTGCCTCTGTCAATAGTCTTTAGGTCTTGAATCTGAATCTCTCGATGCTAAAACGAGGGACAACACTTTGGCTTAGGCTTATTGCAGAGATAAAACTAAAGGTACTGTGGGCACTGAGCTGACTAAATGATACCCCCGCCTCCCATATGTTTTTAATGGCAAAGTCCATGTTTTGATCTGGGAGACCCCAAATAAGTGTCAGATCAAAAATTAAAATAGAAGGTGCACAATGGCACTATGTAATAAAGAATCTGTGAAAGTTTCATTAAATTTCATTCAGTGGTATAAGAAAGATTGCGGATAAGAGATTGGTACCCCGAAGCCCCGTCTGTACGTCCGTCTGACTGTTTTTAAAAGTGGAGGCAGCCAAGCAGAAAAAAATTACAAAAAACTTTGCCGAGAAAAAAAAAAAAGAAAAAAAGAAAAAAGGGAATGGGAGGGCTGGGTGGGGGATTGTTCAAACTCAAAAATCCTATTTCGTGGTGTTGGTGGTGGGGTTTGGTTCAAACCACTTTTCACAACCAAATTTTCTTGATTCATTACCAGACTACCATGATTTAACAACATTTCAACAAAAAAAGGGGGTGGTGGTCAGCCAGCCTTTAAATGAACATTTTTAATAGTAAAATGTTATGTTTGAAAAAGGGGGGCTAACAGTGCCTGTATGTAGTTATTTGATATCACAGGAATTAATCGATTTTAACGATATGTTTAGTAAATAAAAAATACATAAAATACATAATCATTACATTTGTTTTATCTACTACAAATGTCGTTAAATTAATAGGTATACACAAATTATAGGTATTAGTATAATAAGTACATTGCCAAGATTTATTACTTACTGGAAATATCGTTGCAATTGATTGGATCGAAATATGGACTTCCGTGGTCAATATACTATAGACTTATAAAAAAAACGTATGCCATGCACTCCCATTGTGTCCCTAGATATGTGGTTTTGAATTTTACTTCATTATTTTCGCCTCTTCTCTTGTAAATTATAACCTCTAGTTCTATAACCTCTAGAAGCAGAGCAAACACGGGCCTTTGAAAACCTCAGAGGTAGGATCAGGTGCCATGGAGGAGTAAACTTTCCATGTCGACCAGTCACACCTGCCATGTGCTCTTTGTCATGATCGGGCTAACGGAAAAGTCCGAAGACAATACGGTGTGAACATAATGGCCTAACAATTTGCATGAAAAAAAGTCCGTCAACATTCGACTTAATGAAAGATTTATTTGCTGACAAGTACGTCATTGTATCGACCACACAGAACTTGCGAAATGATGACTTTAAGCGAGATCGACTGTTAAAATTCTTGTTTCATCAACTTATTTGTCAATAGCTTGCCTCGTTTTAGAAATTGTTCGTACGTAGAGCATGCTCTTGCATATCGAGTCAACTGGAAGATATAAACTCCATATTCAGGTGATAATGGGATGTTGATAAGATTGAACATGTGTATTTCTAGATGCGGTTTGACTCACATAAAGATGTGAAAAATAATGTTAGAAGTTTGGAGAGAGAGAGAGAGAGAGAGAGAGAGAAGTCTCTTGGTCTCTGGTAAACTGAGGAAACCAGTTAACTAAGTTAAATCATATTTAGTTCTATATTTTTTAGTTTTAAATAAGATTAATTCAAAATACGTACACCTCACTCAGCTAGCAAATTATGGAGAAGGCATGGAAGTCCAAAAGACGTCGAATTCATTCATGATACAGGCCCGTAGGAAGCAATTTCACTTTGAGGGGGTACAACCATATACATTTTCAGTTGCGGGGCACTATCAAGTACTAAAATTCCTTGACAAGTCGGGTCATTATTGAGGGGGCACAAGCATATAGTAGCTATGTTTTCTATAGTATTCTGTATATCGGCAAAATTATTGGGGTGGGGTTGGGTGGGCACTGTAATACTCATCTCCCCCCCCCCCCCCCCCGAGATTCAATTCAAGCTTTCTGGTCCATTACCGGCCCTCTCTAACCCTTTACCTCCTGACTGTGGCTCTTTTTCTATACAATCGAGTGAAGTATATTTTGAAGTATTTATTGTTAGTGCGCTTACACGTATTAAACAAGATAAGATATAGATATTGCAGTATCGTAAAGGTGAGGTACTTTACACAATAGTTTTTGAGATTTACCCCAAAGAAAGAACATTTCGTCTTCGTCAGATTAATGATTTGTTTGAATAAGCGCTTACTTAACGAATTCAAGCGCTCTGGAAACGGTGACACTTCAGAGTGGAAGCCAAAATGTTACGATTTGCTAGAGGGAATTGGGTAAGTTTTGGCCAGTTTTAGTGTCCAAATACTATATTATTTTGATGCAGAAATGCAGGTTCCTAGAGTTACCACAGAAATATAAAGTGCACCTTATATTAGTTGGAGTATGTCATCGTCTATATGCACAAACGTAACCGACTAAACCGTAGGCCCCCACTTTTTGATGTTATAAGGTCGAGCATTGGCAAATACCAGGATTTGGACAGTAAATGAGACTTTTTTCTTTCCCCAATAGTCCGAAAATCTGTCACCTAACTCAAGTGTACCCCATCTATAAGGACTCCTTTAATATAGCCATATAGCATGGCCGTAGGAACCGGGGGGGGGGGGGTGCACCCCCCTAATAATTTTACTGATATATAGATTACTATAGAAAACATAGCTACTATATGCTAGTGCCCCCACAATCAAAACGTCTGATGACCCTTTTTTTTTTTGGCTTGTCAAGGAATTTTTGGTAGTTGATATCCCCCCCCCCAACAGAACAGAACATTTATTTTCTAATTTAGAGCCCATAACAGACAAATATGACTGAAAATGTATGGCTGTGCCCCCCCCCCCCCCCCCCCCGAAATCGCTTCCTCCGGGCCTGTCTAGATTGGGCGCAATTCCCCAGTACTTCGAAATTTCTTACATTTTTGTTTTTTGGATATGACATGTCCTGCATGCCAAATAGGCATGAGAACACTTTTTTGTGCACAATAAATATACACTTTTTTCAGTGGGTGGCAATGTAGCTCTCTGGTTATTCATCCCAATTTTTTCAGACCAGCAAGCTATCTGAAGCTATTAACCAAAAGTGTTGTTGGATCATTTTATTTGTGCATATGACAAGTGGACAGACATAAACTACTACTTTTCTGATCAAAGGGTAGCTGGAATACATCCTTGGATTAAGGGAATTAAAATTTGTTCAAATGAATAGCCATGCTTTATTTCAAGGGGAGATAATTAAGAAATAGACAACAAGATTAATGGACCAGAAAAGATGAAACTTATAAGAAAGCTTCCTTTAAGTTACATTATTTAGTTTCAAATTTGTTAGAAATTCCCTTGTTTTTGTTTTTTTTGTTTTATGATATGTTCAATCAGTTTGCTTGTGTGATAATTTGCACAAAGATAACTCCAATGAAGGAATGACTGTATAGTTTTTTAGGTTTTATGATGTGATCAAGCAATTGGCTTGCATGATAATTTGCATAAACTTTAAAGGCGTTTATGCATAAAATTATTAAACAAGCCAATTGCTTGATCTTCATCATAAAACCAAAACAATTACAGTTATTCCTTATATTTACATGATTCCATAAATTCATGCGCTTGATCCTAGCCCTGCCTCCCTCTCTTTAGCTCTCTATGTCTCTCACTCCCACCCCACACATGATTTTTTTAACCATGCCTTTTGATGAACCAATAGCTCTATGAAAAAAATCATGTCTTTTATCATTTGGAGTTTTATATTGGACAAAGAAATATGAAATATAAATATATGTACATAAAGGTAATTTTAAATATCTTTTCATTGATGTTCCTTGCTGGCCCTGATTTTGTCCTATAGGAAGCCATTTTATCATGACTTCAAACTTTGATTTCTCAAAACAACTCACAGAAAATTTTTAACACCTTCTCTTACTGGGTAAAATTGGCCTGTAAATACTGTACATAGCCATCAACATTGTTTAAGTAGATCCAAATCCAAGATTGGCTTGATAACTGGAAATTACACATGCAAACTAATTTACAAACCAAATCTGGAAATTGCATGACTGACTGTGTCATAAAAAATAAGTGGTTACAGGTCAAAAAATTGGGTGTAACCTGAAAAAAATCAAGTGAGTTGAACAACTATGAGTTTTACTTGGACATATAAATCTCAGGTGATCAGACCCTGAGATCATGATGTATCTTCAGTTTAAGTCAAAATCTGTATACTGTACTGAAATGATGTAGAGGTCTTAACAGTCAAAAATTAAAGTATTATCTAATATTGCATCACTGAACAGCTTCTATCTATAAATTTAGAATTTAAGTTGTGAAATTATAAATATCTTATAAATGAATGAAATGAATATTTGACTTAAGTTTAAGTGTAATCAGGCCAAATAAAAAAATATGTGTGGTTCCGGTTACCCGACCTTCCCTATTTTATACCCCCGACCCTAAACTTTTTTTTGGCAATTTTCATATTTTTTCTGGAATTTTCCCCGATTTCCATCAATGGCTCCAGTTTAAGTTTTAGTTTCAGCAATGACAGCCTCCTTGCGAAACATAGTGCAAGTGTTTAATAGTGTTAAATCCAAAGCAAGCTAGCATGTAGGTGTTCCCTACCAATATTAACTAGTATATTATCACACCTCATCTAAATGCCATTTGCAAAGCAGTGATAGGTATTATTTAGAAAAAAATTAAGAAAATCATTTTGTTAAAAAAAAAAAAAAAAAAAAAATTCCCTACCTACCTACCCTAATTTTTTTGGAAGTGTAACCGGAACCACACATATTTTTTTGTTTGGCCTCATGACCCTGGGCCTGTTGATTTTATCAAATTTATTTACAAGCGTGCATGCTTATGTAATGAATTCAAGGTTGTTAAATCTGGCAGGAATGGGACCAGAAACCTGTAGGAAATTTAAAAAAAAATCTTTTCTCATGGATACAAGGCTATATACAAATGCAGTGTAGAATCAAAGTTGGGGTGGGTGTCAGTTTTATATTGTGTTTGAAAGAGATTTAAAAAAATTAAAAATTGTCATTTACCCAGTATTATAAAAATATCCTCATGTAATGTAAATTTCAATATGTCTAAAACATTGGCCTTTAGACCTAATTGTGGTGCATTTGGACTCAAGTTTATAAAAGAGTAGATAATTAAAAAAACATAATGTGACAAAAAATTAATAATGACACTCAGTTGACTTCTATTAGGGCCATGAGCCTCTTGTCTACTTTTTTAGACTTGGTAAGTCCTACAAACTTTGAGGGTCAAAGTGTATTATCTTTAAACCTCTAATTACATTTAAATTTGCATCAGTGCATATTTACCCTAGACAGTTTATCACAAGGTCACAAATTAGATTGAGAATGTAGAGTTATCTCTCTTTGGAATGCATTGATGCAGAAAGTGTGTCGGCTATGTTGACATTTGATTGAGACATGTACATGTGAGGTGTAAGCTATATTTATTTACTTTGCTTATTGGGTAAAAAAAAAAATCAGTCTTTGGACTAAAAATTTGATGCTGGCCTTTTAATCAAGATTTCTGGGTGTTTTTAATGTAAATTAACACAGTAAAAATGTTTAATTAGTAATGTTTTGTGTTGACAGGTCCATCGTGTGTCCTGTAACCTCCAAAGGATGCAGACAGATGGGAAGTTATTTGTGGGGAGGATGTTTTCTGTACAGGACTCCCTCCCCAAGCTTCCTGTCCCACCCCTAGAGCAGACCCTCCAGAAATACCTCCGATCAGTCCGACCTCTGTTGACTGATGAAGAGTACGTGAACACTCAAAAGGTACGGGAGAAAAATACAATTCACAGCAATACTGTGTGGTCTTCTGTTAGAGTTTCACTGATGTCTGTCATTTATTGACCCTTCTGTTGAGTAATAATACATATATATATATATATATACAAACATTTTATCTTATTCATAGTCATGGGTCATTGTCCAGTTGACATAGCAAATTATGGGTCACTCACTGTTATACAGACATATGTATATCTTCAGTTTGGAGACAAGAAATTTAATGTAAAGCCTACATATGTATTGATTGCTTTAAAAGCATGTAAAAATTATGATCATCCAAGAGTCAAGTAGAGCATTTAAAAATGGACTTTGATCCCTTTCATAGAGTGTATAATTACATAGTTAGCTTTCAAAGTTTAGGCAGTACAATGCATTGTGTGATATAGAAATCTGAGAGTAGACTCAAAAAAGTTAACATACTAAAGAAAGATTATTTTACCATTCATTTTGGTTATAAATGCTATAAATAGAATTTATGTATTTCCCATGTTGTTAGAACACTGATTTAATTTTGAGTTCTATACTAGATTCAAGTGTCTGAGCCAACGATAACCACACTTGCAATAAATATGGCATCCTTTGTTGAAAGGATTCAGTTTCTTTGAAATGAGACAAAGACTCCCCCAACAGGAGCCAATTTAGTAGTGGTGTCCCCTAACAGGAAATCATTTAGCAGTGGTGTCCCCTAACAGGAGATCATTTAACAGTGGTGTCTCCTAATAGGAAATCATTTAGCAGTGGTTTCCCCAAACAAGAGATCATTTAACAGTGGTGTCTCCTAACAGGTGATCATTTAACATTGGTGTCCCCTAACAGGAGATCATTTAGCATGGTGTCTTCTTACAGAAGATCATTTAACAGTGATGTCTTTTAACAGGAGATCATTTAACAGTGGTGTCCCCTAACAGGAGATCATTTAACAGTGGTGTCCCCTAACAGGAGATCATTTAACAGTGGTGTCCCCTAACAGGAGATCATTTAACAGTGGTGTCCCCTAACAGGAGATCATTTAACAGTGGTGTCCCCTAACAGGAGATCATTTAGCATGGTGTCTCCTAATAGGAAATCATTTAGCAGTGGTTTCCCCAAACAAGAGATCATTTAACAGTGGTGTCCCCTAACAGGTGATCATTTAACATTGGTGTCTCCTAACAGGAGATCATTTAGCATGGTGTCTTCTTACAGAAGATCATTTAACAGTGATGTCTTTTAACAGGAGATCATTTAACAGTGGTGTCCCCTAACAGGAGATCATTAAGCAGTGGTATCCCCTAAAGGTGATCATTTAGCAGTTATGTCCCCTAACAGGATATCATTTAGAAGTGGTGTCCCCTAACAGGAGATCATTTAGCAGTGGTGTCTCCTAACAGGAGATCATATAGCAGTGGTTTCTTTTAACAGGAGATCATTTAGCAGTGGTGTCTCCTAACAGGAGATCATATAGCAGTGGTTTCTTTTAACAGGAGATCATTTAGCAGTGGTATCTTCTTACAGAAGATCATTTAGCACTGGTGAAAATAAGGATGAGGGCATCAAAAAAAGTCACTCCTTCTGTCAAGTAAAAAAAACATATAAAGAAATATTGTCATATAGTGTACATTCAGGATCAATAAATGCCCTAAGAGATTTAACTTAGGTGAGCCTGGTGGCTTATAGATCACTTGTATGGTCTTTGTGAGGTTTTTAGGCAGATTGCTGTTATGAACATATTTCTTTCAGAAATATTTTGGTCTTCCACTTCTTGAAAACAAAACAATATATAAATGATATGAAAAAAGATAATTTTTTACATGTTACAGATATAATTCAAATACAGTAAGATGATTTCTTTTAATAATATAGAGAGCTTAATAAAGTTGGATTTGTTTCAGGTAGTAGAAGACTTTAAAAGAGACCCTGGTCCAAAGTTACAAAGTCTGTTGGAAAAACGAGCACAAAAGGAAACAAACTGGGTAAGTCTGGTGGATCTGGAAAATACAGGAGTGTGGCTTGGCCAAAAAATTTGTGTAGACAGAGACTGGTACACACTGTTATAGAGATCTGACTGGACGTATCATTTTATAAGTAAAATTGGTACTTATTTTTAAAAATTTACAACTGGCACATATTATAGTACAGATATAACTAGTATATATTGTAATACAGATACAATGGTACATATTGTACATATGTATATATTGTAATACAGATACAATGGTACATATTGTAATACATATAAGATTGGTACATATTGTAATACAGATAAGATTGGTACATATTGTAATACAGATACAACTGGTACATATTGTAATACAGAAACAACTGATACATATTGTAATACAGATAAGATTGGTACATATTGTTATACAGAGGTACATATTGTAATACAGATACAACTGGTACATATTGTAATACAGAGGTACATATTGTAATACAGATAAGATTGGTACATATTGTAATACAAATAGGATTGGTACATATTGTAATACATATAAGATTGGTACATATTGTAATACAGATAAGATTGATACATATTGTAATACAGAAACACTTGATACATATTGTATTACAGATAAGACTTGTACACCTAGTAATTTAGATAGGACTGGTACATATTGTAATATAGATAGGATCAGCACACACAGTATTTTATATACAGGTGACTCTGGATGGCTCAAACTCCGATCTCTCGAAGTTCTCGATCTCTCGAAGTGAACCTCCGGTCCGTTTTTTCCTCTATTTAACTAAGCAAATTTACTCCTTATCTCTCGAACTCCCGATCTCTCGAAGTTCTCTATCTCTCGAACCAAGACCTGGGCCCGTTACTCATATTTCATTGTTTTTTACTCTCTATCTCTCGAAGTTTGGATTGCGCATGTATACACGTCAATCAAGCGTTAAATTAATTCAGCTTGGACTTAGCTGGATAACAGTGAACGCCTGGGGCTGGGATGGGCGTGTTAATTGGGTGTTTACATAGATGATGCTACACCTGTGAGTCGTCCGAGTGTTTATATAATTAATTGGTTAATTGGTAAATTATAAACAAATCGCTTCACAACTTATTTTGAGTGGACAAGAGGATAATTTTGAGAAAATAATTATGGACGTGTCAGTAATTTTCCATATATTATGAACTTTAATATAATTAGAGTCTGCGCAATCCCAGTTTGGCAAACATTGCACAAGAAATCCTATCTCAAAAATTGTATACCGATTACGAGCAATCTTGTGAAGGGCCGGTCAAGCTCGCATCCGGGGGTTATCAAAATCGACAATTGCTATTCAGGTAATCATGAAATGAGAACAAATAAATATTGAAACTTAAATTAATCATTTTATTTATTCAAAACATGATCATTGTTGTTGAAATCAAGTGAATTACCTGTAAAATACGAATGAAATTTGAAAACGTGTAATGACATTATCAACATATACTTCCGGTATGAATAATAGTAGAACTATGATGATTGGAACTGAAATTTCCGAATTTTATTCACTTTCTATCTCTCGAACCCCCCCCCCCCCCCCCCCGGATCTCTCGAACTTTTCTTACGGTCCCTTGAACTTCGAGAGATCGAGAGTCACTTGTAGTTAACATTTCCATTGATGGTGTTTTAGTGGTAAACATTTGCTCTGTAGATTTGTAAGTTTTGTAGTTCTAGTGTTGATTTGATATTTCATCCTTTTGTTATTAGCTCTCTGATTGGTGGACTAACACTGCCTACTTGGAATTCCGTCAGCCTGTGACTGTAAATGTCAGCCCAGGAGTTGTGTTTCCTAAACAGAACTACACAGACAAAGAAGGACAACTCAGGTAAACAAAACTACACAGACAAAGAAAGACAACTCAGGTAATAAGTGTTCCGTAAACACACAGACAAAGAAGGACAACTCAGGTAAACAAAACTACACAGACAAAGAAAGACAACTCAGGTAATAAGTGTTCCCTAAACACACAGACAAAGAAGAACAACTCAGGTAAACAAAACTACACAGACAAAGAGAGACAACTCAGGTAAGTTGTGATCCCTAAACAGAAGTACACAGACAAAGAAGGACAACTCAGGTAAACAAAACTACAAAGACAAAGAAAGACAACTCAGGTAATAAGTGTTCTGTAAACACACAGACAAAGAAGGACAACTCAGGTAAACAAAACTACACGAAAAAAGAAGGACAACTCAGGTAATAGTGTTCTGTAAACACAAAGACAACTAGATACAACTTAGGTAAGTTGTGTTCCATAAAATGTGCTAACAAATCAGTTATGGTCTCTAAACAGAAGTACATGGACAAAGAGAGACAACTCAGGTAGAGGCAGCATATTCAGATAAATGTTTTGTTGTTTTCATCATTAGATTTTTTATTTTCTCTTATAATATTTAGGGTGATTCTATAAATGGATATATAAATATTAAACATTATATAAAATTTTATTCTTTTTTTTTTCAGATTCACAGCCAAGTTGATTTCTGGTCTTTTAGATTACAAAACCATGATAGACAAGTAAGTAATGACTGTTATATGGTTAACCTAGTTGTATGTGTAAAATGCTTTCAATCAAAGTTTGTTCTAAAACAATCTATGTGTCTCTGTGATATTTTCTCATGTTTCATTGGGAACAGCCATGTTATAATTCAGCCAAAGTTGACACAAAGTGATTTTTGTAAAAAAGAAAAAAAATTGTTTGAAAAAAGATATAACTTTCCATGGGAGAGGACAAACAAATGGTAAAATAAAGTTTGCTTACTTAAAAGTCTTCTAGAATCATAGAGCAAGAGATGAGAAACTTTTTTGAAATACATTTAAAGTTCTTAATTGCAAACTATCACGATTTTAGCTGTGTTTTTTTTTAATAAGAGTCCAAATTTGGTCATTACCATACCTTGTCCTTTATTTTAAAAATATGTAATTTATACATCAGTTTGTCGATAAAGATGTATTGATATATCATATAGTTTAATTTCTATGTGAGTAAGACAGTTCAGGGGGTAGAAGATGTCAGAGACTCTATAGTAAAAATAGTACTGTGTTTTTGAATTAGATAGAAACAAAGCTAACAGCTTTTACTTTTGGTAAACACTTGCATTAATGATAAAATTTAGGTATTTCTTTATGTGTTACTGATATATTCTAATCCACTGATATAACATTTACTATCTCTCAGACAAACCCTCCCTGTGGAGAAGATGGGGAAACAGCCCCTGTGTATGATGCAGTACTATAAGATCCTGTGTGGGTGCCGTATCCCAGGTAAAAAGAAGGACTCCTGGGTTTGTTACCCTCCAGACGAGGCCAATCCTCCAAAACACTTCGTCGTGGCCCACAACAATGCTGTAAGTCATACATATAGTCCTGGCCCACAACAATGCTGTAAGTCATACATCTAGTCCTGGCCCATAACAATGCTATAAGTCATACATATACATATATATGTAGAACTGGCCCATAACAATGCTGTAAGTCATACATATAGTACTGGCCCATAACATTACTGTAAGTCATACATATAGTCCTGGCCCATAACAATGCTGTAAATCATACATATAGTCCTGGCCCATAACAATGCTGCAAGTCATGTACTTAATTCTGGCCCATAACAATGCTGTAAGTCATGTACTTAATCCTGGCCCATAACAATGCTGTAAGTCATACATATAGTCCTGGTTCATTAGAATGCTGTAAGTCGTATATCTAGTCCTGGTCCATAACAATGCTCTAAGTTATATATTTAGTCCTGGTCTATAACAATGCCATAAGTATGGCCCATAACAATGCTGTAAGTCATACATATAGTCCTGTACTTATCTTAGCCCATAACAATACCATAAGTCATTTACTTAATCTTATCCCATAACAATAACAAAAGTCATGTACTTAATCTTAACCCATAACAATGCCCTAAATCATGTACTTAATCTTAGCCCATAGCAATACCGTAGGTCATGTACTTAATACCATAAGTCATGTACTTAATTTTAGCCCATAGCAATGTTGTAAGTCATACATATAGTCCTGGCCCATAACAATGCTTTAAGTTATACACATAGTCCTGGCCCATAACAATACCATAAGTCATGTACTTAATCCTTATGAATATTTCTGCCTTTATAGAGGTCCTGGACCATAACAATGCCTTAAGTCATGTGTTTTGTCATATCCCATAACAATGCTGTAAGTCATTTACTTAGTCCTGGCCCATAAGAATGCTGTAAATCATGTACTTAATCCTGGGCCATAACAATGCAATAAGTCCTGTACTTAATCCTGGCCCATAACAATGCTGCAAGTCATGTACTTAGTTGTGGTCCATAGCAATGCCATACATCATTTATATAGTCCTTGCCCAGGAGAATGCTGTAAGTCATCCACTTAGTCATGCCATAAGTCTTGTACTTAGTAGTTTGCCATAACAATGCTGTAAGTCAAGTATATAGTCCTGACCTATAACATTGCTGTAAATTATGTACTTTGTCATGCCCTATAACATTGCTGTAAGTCAAAATTACATGGAGCACAAGAAGAAATGGATTTTTTTTCCAAAATGTGAACTTTGGTTTTATTACAATTTCAGGACAAAAAATATCTATCTGAAAGTGTTTTGTGGAAAAATAAAAGAAAACAAGATGTGTTTGTAAAACACTGCTGCCCCCTTATAGCAGCAGCTCATAGCTAAGGTTAAAGTTTTTCAAAGAGAACTGTAAAATCGCTTGTTTTTGTGGAGTCAAATTTTCGTGGTACAAGGAAAAATAACTGTTTTAGGGGATATAATTTCATGGTTAAAAAAGAAACATGATACTGCAGTATGAACTTTGATTTCATATATGATTTCATGGGGGATATGAATTCATGGGTCTCTCCATATTACGAAAACAATAAATATGAAACCCCCAAGAAAATCAGTAATTTCACAGTAGGTCAAACTCCAAGATCAAGGTCATAATGTCTAAAATGTTGGTATTCAAAGAAAGGTCGTAAAAAATACACATGAAATATGACAGCCCTAGTACAAACCATTCAGAAGTTATAGCCAAAGTTTAATTTTTTCAAAAGTAGGTCAAACTTTAAGTTAAAGGTCATTAGGTAAAAAATGTTGGTACCCAAACAACAGTTTCAAAGAATACAAATATAAAAGCCCTAGTATCAACTGTTCATAAGTTATGGCCAAGGTTAAAGTTTTTGCAGACAAATAGACAGACAGACAGACAATGGACAAATTAAAAACTACAGCCCCTTAATCTCTGATCAGGGGAGCATACAAAATTAGACACAAGAAATGTTTGATTAACTTTCATCTTTTTCATCTTGTTTCTTTGTGTGGTACAGTTCTTTTTCCTGGAGGCCTATGGCAGTAACAACCAGGCTTTGAGCACAGATCAACTGTATGAACAGCTGAAATATATTGTGTACCAATCTAAAGCACCAGAGGTTCCTATAGGACTTCTTACCACAGAAAACAGGAACAAATGGGCCAAATCATACGAGCTTCTGCTCAAAGGTAGCCAATAACAAAACTCTGTAATGTAATAGTGGCCATAAATAATCAGTGTTGCTGTTTAGAAATAGATTCATGTTCATATCTGAGTTAGAAGATAAAATAAGAAAATAATTACAGAGCAATTCCTTTCCTGTATTAAAAATTCACTCCCTCCCTTAAACTCACTTGTCCTGCATTATCTGAAAATGTGTTTGACTATTTCAGACAAGGAAACCAAGACCTCATTGTCAATAATACAGCGTAGCATCTGTCTGATCTGTATAGACAATAAACTCCCAGATAGTGCTCCAGGGGAGGAAGAAAGCACAGCAGCTAAAATGATGTTACATGGAGGAGGGAGTCAATTCAACTCTGCCAATAGGTGGTGTGATAAAACACTCCAGGTCTGGCAAGTTTTAAAGTACATGTACTGAAATCTCAGCAATTTTCAAGCTCTATACTAGAAAAATAATAATTTCTGCTATTTTTACATTCTCATGTTGTGTGATAACAAAGATGACAGAGATACTGTAAGGGACTGCTGTTTCATTAACACTTCTCGTTATTTGCAGTTCATTGTTGGGAAGAACGGGGTTTGTGGACTGAATTATGAGCACACGACAGCCGAGGGGCCCCCCATTATATCTATTGTAGACCACATCCTCGATTACTGGTAAGTACTAATATAGACATCAACAGTCAAAAACAGAAGAAGGAATCACAGTAATATTTCAAGTTACTTGTTATTTAATGCAAATTGCCTTACCTAAATGTGGTTGTAATAGTTATAAATAAATTCTGGTTGAGGGAATTCAGCCTGCTTGATCCCAGAGATAGGAGTTGAGGTCCCTTAGAAACTTATGTAGGGAAAATAACCCCCTCCCCCTTCCTTTTTCAGTGATTCATGCATGTATTGGTATAATTTTTTAAAAAAATTTTTGCTTACCAGAGCCAAAGGCTCAAGTGAGCTTCTCTGATCAAAGATTGACATTACTTATTTTTGACTTGTTCACCATGGTCACTTAGCCTATGTCAACAAAACTTGACACAAGTATCCTTAGGTGATTTGGGATTCAGTTTTTTTTCAAATTGAAGGCCCACACCTTTTGGGAGATAATTAAGAAATATTATACTTAAAAAGGACAGAATTCCCATATAATGCAGTTTCAAATTTGTTCTAATCATGGCTCAAAAACTAGAGTTAGGCCTTGATAAACAGGAATATTTAAACTACTGCAAAAATAACAAGGCTACAATTCTTTATCTTGACCTCAAGCCTCAATATACCAGACCTGTTTACTCTTACGATTTCGCCATACTTTGTACGGATTTTGAGTCCAAAATACGTCTCAAGTTTTGCTTTAATGAAAATACGGAAATCTGTCATTTGGATTTCAGCAGTTAGTTTTCGTTATGATATGTCTCAGTTTGATGCTTTTTAATCGCTAACAAAGAGAAAGATTTCAAACACTTCAGTGATATCGGGTTGCCAAAACGCGGTGGTTTAAAAAATGACAGAAACCCCTCGAAAGAAAGCAAGGTATAATGTTATCAAACCATGTTTTTTAATAAAAAATTTAAGTGTTCTCTAGAAATATATGTAAAATCGATGGAAAGTGAATATTACAGGCAAATCTAAAAAACTGACAAATCTAAAAAAAATACTGAGAGACGACAATATGGGTAAACAGGTCTGATATACTATAATATAAATTTAAATTCTTGAAATTGTGAACTTTAAGTTGATGGTTACAATTAGGTGTGTAAGTCTTTGACATATTTATCTCATACTCAGGTGAGCTTTGTGGCCCAGGAACAGGATTGGTCCATTGCTTATTTCTTTCAACAAATGCAGGAATTTAAAATGACTTTTTTTTAAAAAAATAAACAATTATAACTGTACAATAATTTCATGTAGAGTATATAACATCCTTTAAGTGCTTGGTAGCATTATTTATTGTTGACTTTATAGTGGTAAGAATGAGGAAACATCTACACCATCCCCTGGTATAAAAGCACCAAGAAAACTCAATTTTAACCTCAAATTTCCTGAGCTGAAAGAAAACATAGAGGAAGCTGTAGACAACATTGATTCGTAAGTACCTCATATAATCAGTCTCTCTTAATTTTCATATTTTTTCCATTTTCTATCGCAAAGTTTGATTGTTATATGCAGTCAAACCTTATTATCTTGAACTCAGCGGTCTGAGATTTAACTTTTGATTTGCAAAAATTCGAGATAACAAGGTTAAAAAAGAAGAAAGAAAAGTGGTTGGGACCTCCAGACCACTTCAACATAAGCCTGGTATTTGAGATAATGGTGTCCAAGAAAGCAAAATTCAACTATAGTTGAAACTATTTGGTCTAAGTTTGAAAAAAAATTATTTTGAGCAAATAATCACTCTCTCAGTAAAATTATTGGTATTTTCAACAAATGCATGTATATTGAGACAAGCATGTGGGTGATGAAAGATTTTATGAGTCATATTTATTAAAAGATCTCAATTTAATATGCACATTTGAATGTTTCTGTGAAACTTGTTGGTCAATCATACTTTTGTATGTAGTGAAAGCTATTTTTGACCTGAATGAATTTGTGTTTTTGTGTGGAGTACCAAGGGTACACGAAACCTGTTTTTGACCTGAAAGAACATAGATTTATTCAGTCAGAAACAGTTTCATGTACTCCACACAGAAACACAAAATCAATCAGGTCAAAAATAGCTTTCACTTCACACAAAAACACAAATTCATTCAGGCCAAAAATAGCTTTCACTCCACACAAAAACACAAATTCATTCAGGTCAAAACTATCTTTTATCCCATACAAAAACAAATTCATATATTTTTAGCTCACCTGAGCTGAAAGCTCAAGTGAGCTTTTCTGATCACCCGCTGTCCGTCGTCCGTCCGTCTGTAAACTTTTCGCATTTTCAACTTCTTCTCAAGAACCACTGGGCCAATTTTAACCAAACTTGGTACAAAGTATCCTTGGGTGAAGGGGAGAGGAAATTGTTAAAATAAAGGGCCAAGTCCCCTTACAAGGGGAGATAATCAAGAAAAGACAAAAATAGGGTGGGGTCATTAAAAAATCTTCTTCTCAAGAACCACTGGGCCAGAAAAGCTGAAACTTATGTGGAAGCATCCTATGATAGTGTAGATTCTAAATTGTTAAAATCATGACCCCCGGGGGTAGGGCGGGGCCACAATAAGGAATCCAAGTTTTACATTGAAATACATAAGAAAAATCTTGAAAAATCTTCTTCTCAAGAACCACTGGGCCAGAAAAGCTGAAACTTATATGGAAGCATCCTCGGGTAGTGTAGACTATAAATTGTTCAAATCAGGACCCCCGGGGGTAGGGCGGGGCCACAATAAGGAATCCAAGTTTTACATTGAAATACATAAGAAAAATCTTTAAAAATCTTCTTCTCAAGAACCACTGGGCCAGAAAAGCTGAAACTTATATTGAAGCATCCTGGGGTAGTGTAGAATCTAAATTGTTCAAATCTTGACCCCCGGGGGTAGGGCGGGGCCACAATAGGGAATCCAAGTTTTATATTGAAATATATAGGAAAAGTCTTAAAAAATTTTCTTCTCAAGAACCACTGGGCCAGAAAAGCTGAAACTTATATTGAAGCATCCTGGGGTAGTGTAGAATCTAAATTGTTAAAATCATGACCCCCGGGGGTAGGGCGGGGCCACAATAAGGAATCCAAGTTTTACATTGAAATACATAAGAAAAATCTTTAAAAAATCTTCTTCTCAAGAACCACTGGGCCAGAATTACTGAAACTTATATTGAAGCATCCTGGGGTAGTGTAGAATCTAAATTGTTCAAATCATGACCCCCGGTGGAAGGGCGGGACCACAATAGGGAATCCAAGTTTTACATTGAAATACATAGGAAAAATCTTTAAAAATCTTCTTCTCAAGAACCACTGGGCCAGAAAAGCTGAAACTTATATGGAAGCATCCTGGGGTAGTGTAGATTATAAACTGTTCAAATCATGACCCCCGGGGGTAGGGCGGGGCCACAATAAGGAATCCAAGTTTTACATTGAAATACATAAGAAAAATCTTGAAAAATCTTCTTCTCAAGAACCACTGGGCCAGAAAAGCTGAAACTTATATGGAAGCATCCTGGGGTAGTGTAGACTATAAATTGTTTAAATCATGACCCCAGGGGGTAGGGCGGGGCCATAATAGGGAATCCAAGTTTTACATTGAAATACATAAGAAAAATCTTTAAAAATCTTCTTCTCAAGAACCACTGGGCCAGAAGCTGAAACTTATATGGAAGCATCCTGAGGTAGTGTAGATTATAAATTGTTCAAATTTTGACCCCCGGGGGTATGGCAGGACACAATAGGGAATCCAAGTTTTACATTGAAATATATAAGAAAAATCTTTAAAAATTTTCTTCTCAAGAACCACTGGACCAATAAAGCTGAGACATATTTGGAAGCATCCTGAGGTAGTGTAGATTCTAAATTGTTCAAATTTTGACCCCCGGGGGTAGGGCAGGGCCACAATAGTTATATTAAAAGGCGGGAAATCTGGTAAAGAACAGCATGGGCAAAGTTACTCAGGTGAGCGATGTGGCCCATGGGCCTCTTGTTTCTCATAAATTATCTTTCAATGTCATATTTGTGATATTATCCATACCATCAATTCACAAAAATTATGTAAAACATTTAAATTTTTCACCCACTCTCCCTCTCTCTAAAGAGAGAGAGAGTTTTTGTGTGGAGTGAAGCCTATTTTTGATTTGCTTGAATTTGTGTCTGTGTGCTCATCCTCACATTGTTTTGATTCAGTGAAGATTCAGTATACAGTGAAACATGCCCATAGCCAAGTGCCAGGGATGAACAGTTTTGCTTCATTATAAATGCAATTTGTTATATCTCTTGATTTCATGATAATTTTCTAACGTTAGAGAATGAAAATCACTTCACTCTAAGTGTGAATTTGTTATATTAAGCGTGTTTTACTGTATGGTGAGGGTTTAAGAGGTCACCAAACTGCATTTTAATTTTAAAAATGTCCTTTTCTCCAAGAAATTTGATGTTTAAAATTTTACAATTTTCTAAATCATCTCAACTTTTTATTCTCCCATTATCAGAAATTCAGGGAAATATAGTTTTTGGTCTGTGTTTGCCTGCAAAAACTTTAACTTGCCAATAGCTTGAATAGTTGGAGTTATGGCTTCCATATTTTATGTGTATTCCTTGTGACAAGACCTTTATTTGGGTTTTTTGCCTCATGACCTTGGAATTTGACCTACATTTGAAAAAAAATATCACTTTGGCTATGAGCTGCTATTATGGGGGTATCACTTCTTGTTCTGAGAAGGAAAAACAACTTTTCTGCAAAATACATAGTTTTCTCTATTAAAGAAATACACAAAATTGTGGCCCATATCACTCTATTAAAGAATAGGAGAATGACGAAATACTCTTTAGTTGTCACTGTACATCACGTAAGATTTATATTTCAGGTTAGTCAAGGATGTAGATTTAAATGTGTTCAAATTTACGGAGTATGGTAAAAACTTCCCCAAGAGCCAAAAGCTTAGTCCAGACAGCTATCTACAGATGGCATTCCAGCTGGCTTACTACAGGTAAATCTAAACGTGTTTTATGTCAGTTTGTGTTGACTGATAGAGATTTATAAATTTTATAATAGCTGTTTAATGGGGAAAAATCTGATTGAGTAGAATGTGCTGGACACTAAAATTTTAAGATTTGAATTTAAAAATTAAATTGTATGTAACATTTTATAATGATGTGACGATGCTTCTTCTTGCATTGTCTTTTAAAAATTTGAAAAAGTTATTCATATTAAACCTTTTCCTTTTACACAGGTTATATTCCAAGCCCTGCGCCACGTATGAGACTGCTTCATTGCGTCAGTTTCAGCTGGGTAGAACGGACACAATCAGGTCATGTTCCATGGAGTCTCTGGAGTTCTCTAAAGGAATGATGGACTCAACATTATCTAAACAGAAAAAAGCCGAACTTCTGAGGAAGGCTGTCGCTGAGCATAAAAACTATGTAGCAGAGGTCTGGTGATATCAGTTTTCTTTCACAGGAAATTATTTTCAAAGATATGCAGAGTGTAAAATTCAGAGCAAAATATGTATTTCCATTTTTGAAGACAACCTTGCATGATTGACTAAACTGAACCATTGTTACACTGTAGTTTCTGAGTTTTTAAATCCCAGTATCTGCATTACCAGTGTTGATATGATTCTTTGTTCTACAGGCAATAAAGGGGCAAGGTATTGACAGACACTTACTGGGACTTAAACTGATAGCCCTCCAGAATAATATGAAGGTTCCAGCCCTGCATATGGACATGGCTTACTCTCTCAGTAGTCATCATAACATCTCAACTAGTCAGGTAAACTATTATTTCTCAACTATAGTCAGGTAAAGAAGTAGTTCTCAAATAGTCAGATAAACTAATAATTCTCCTCTAGTCAGATAAACAAGTAGTTCTCAACTAGACAGATAAACAAGTAGTTCTCAAATAGTCAGGTAAACTATTGGTTCTCAATTAGTAAGGTTATCAAGTTCTTCTCAACTTCGTTTTGTTAGCTCTACTGGTCAGAGACGAGAAGAGCTTATGCGATAGTAAGGTGTCCGTCATCCGTCCATCTGTCTGTCCGTCTGTAAACAATTTTTCAAAATGCTACTCCTTCTACAGTTTTTGTCCGATTTCAATACAACTTGGCACACAAGTAGACTACACTAAGATACATAATTCTGTATATCAGTTTTTGATTTCAATGAATGGTGTTGCCATGGTTACTAAAAATAGAAATTTCTATGAAATACTTTCAAAATGCTACTCCTCCTACAGTTTTGGTCTGATATTAGTATAACTTGGCACACAAGTAGACTATACTAAGATACATAATTCTGTTTATCGGTTTTTGATTTCAATGATCGGTGTTGCCATGGTTACTAAAAATAGAAATTTCTGTGAAATACTTTCAAAATGCTACTATTCCTACAGTTTTGATCTGATTTCATTATAACTTGGCACACAAGTAGACTACACAAAGATACATAATTCTGTATATCGGTTTTTGATTTGATGAACGGTGTTGCCATGGATACTAAAAATAGAAATTTCTTTGAAAAACTTTCAAAATGCTTATCTTCCTACAGTTTTGGTCTGATTTTAGTATAACTTGACACACAAGTAGACTACACTAAGATACATAATTCTCTATACCAGTTTTGGATTTGATGAACGGTGTTGCCATGGTTACTAAAAATAGAATTTTTTTGAAATACTTTCAAAACGCTACTCCTCCTACATGTTTTGTCTGTTTTCAGTATAACTTGGCATGCAAGTAGACTACACTGAGATACATAATTGTCATTATTGCTTTTTGATTTTGTTGAATGATGTTGCCATGGTTACTTAAATCGAAATTTCTGTAAAATTATTTTAAAAGGCTACTCCTCCTACAGTTTTATTCTGATTGCAAGAAATCTTGCCACAAAAACAGACTAAACCAATGATCATTATTCTATTTATTGCTGTTGCAAAGTTCAAGTCCAAGTGCTACTTTTATCTTCCTTTTACAAGTACAACCAGCAGAGCTACAGTCTCATCAGAGACTTCTGGTTGCTTTCTGGAAAACATTACACACAGTAAACTTTCAGTTGATTTCTCTAGGTACCAGCCAAGCATGAGGCTTGTCTGGTGTTCGGCCCCACAGTTCCCGATGGTTATGGAGTATGCTATAATCCTCAGGAGAAACAGATTATTTTTGGAGTTTCCGCCTTCAACTGCTGTCCAGAGACGGAATCTAGGAAATTTATAGACTCAATCAGACAGTCTCTGTACGAGATGAAGACAGTGTTAGAAGGAAGTGTGCAGTCAAAATTGTAACAAAATCTGGGCACTAGTTCAGATACCTGTATACATGTATGGGGATTTGTATGGCTGAGCTTGATTTAAATCTCAGGTCAAACAATTTGTCAATTTTATGCAGAGAATGTCTTGTTATGTGATTTAGAACTGTGATGAAATAAATGAAGTATGATTGTGATATGATTTTCAGAAGAGTGTGTTCTGTATGCAAGCTGACCTATATAAATTGGTGCTACAGAAAATATGGCATTCTTTGAATTAGTGTTTTTATAATTTTTACCTTTAGTAAAATCCTACAGCAGGTTTTTTTTAACCCATTAATCATCAATTGAAGACCACAGACATTTTTTCCCCAAAATGTTTAGTGCATTAATTTTATTGAAAGCATTCAACACTGCTTTTATTTAGTAAGTTAATCGAGGAAAAATTGCTCTATATATGCTGGAGTTTCTATCAGATGTTAGTGTTGTGGTCAGAATTATTGTCTAAGGCACTCTGTATACAGTCCTTCTTTTGATTTCCAACCAGTATGTGTACATTGTATTACATATATTCCAGTATTATTCCATCTGATTTATTAAAAAAAAAAATTCTGAGGAATCTGATAGATTGGTTTTACTTGTATGATGTGATCATGATTGTAAATCGTGAATTGATTAGATTTTGGAGAGCAGCCTCTAAGTCACGTATTGTCTTAGTAACAATGTCATGTTGTCCTCGGCTCTGAGGCTACATCCTACCTCTTACTAGTGGCTCTGTCTACCATGAATTACTGAAGTATATATGATTACTAAGCAAATATTTAATAGTCTGTGGCATTAAGTTTGTTGGAATTTCAGATTTAATAGCTTGTTTATTGCTACCATTTGGTGGTGGTAAGAATGGTGTACCTCCAATTTGTAATGCATGTAGCTGATTAGAATTCCATTGTTGTATATTTTTTTATGGAATGAATTAGAAGTGTAGAATCACTGTAATTGTATTAAAAGAAAAATAAATTAATAAAAAAAGTTCTAAACAAAGATATCCTCTTGATTTTCCTGACATCTTTTAGTTTTTAGCTAACCTGAGCTGAAAGCTCAAGTGAGCTTTTCTGATCACCTGTTGTCCGTCCGTCCGTCTGTTTGTCTGTCCATCTGTAAACTTCTCACATTTTCAACTTCCTCTCAAGAACCTCTGGGCCAATTTTAACCAAAATTTGGTACAAAGCATCCTTGGGTGAAGGGGAGTTTAAAGATTTAAAAAAAGGGCCAAGTTTTTGTACAAGGGGAGATAATCAAGAAAAGACAAAAATAGGGTGGGTTCATTAGAAAATCTTCTCAAGAACTACTGGGCCAAAAAAGCTTAAACTTATGTGAAAGCATCCTTGGGTAGTGTAGATTCTAAATTGTTCAAATCATGGCCCCGGGGGTAGGTTAGGGCTGCATAAGGGAATCAAAGTTTTACATTGCAATATATAGGAAAAATCTTTTTCTCAAGAACCACTTTGCCAAAAAAGCTGAAACCTATGTGAAAGCATCTTTGGGGAGTGACGATTCTAAATTGTTCAAATCATGACCCCCGGGGGTTTGGTGGGGCCACAATGGGGAATCAAAGTTTTACATTGAAATATATAGGAAAAATCTTTAAAAATCTTCTTCTCAAGAACCATTGAACCAGAAAAGCTTAAACTTACATGAAAGCATCCTTGGGTAGTGTAGATTCTACATTATTCAAATCATGACCCCCGTGAGTAAGGTGGGGCCACAATAAGTATTACAACGGGAAAATCTGGTGAAGAACAGCAGGGCTAAAGTTACTCAGGTGAGCGTTGTGGCCCATGGGCCTCTTGTTATCATTATATTTGGTAAAAACTGCATTGTTATACTTCATATGCTGAGCAGCTATTGTTTGTAACATTATTGAGTCTGCATGTGGAAAAAAATTTTGTACCAGATAAAACAAGTCCATGTGACAGCAATCTATTTTGATCTTGACCTTTAAACGGAATTTATGTGTCATCCATTAAAATTTTTTAGGAGAAGCTTGATCATTTTGAAGCCTATAGATTATGGATGGATATTTCTTTAAGAAACAGCAAATTAAAGTTGTCTTCTTCAAACCATGTCTAGGTTTTAAAATGTCCAATTAATAAACAATGGTCATATCAATGAGACCAAAAATCTTTTCACAGATCATTCTCCATCTATATTCAAGTAGTACTCTGCAAAATGCCATCAACATTTGAGCTTTGGTCATTACCTTTGACAAAGTGACCCCAAAAACTAAAGGTGTCTACCTTTATCCATCTTCTACCTATTTGGTTTAAGCTGAACATGATTTGTAAAAGGAATTTGTCCGCCATATTCTTTTATTCAGTCATTATATCTGAGGGCCCCTATATAAGCCATTCATTTAGTCACTATTCAGTGTAATCAGTTGTCACCTGTGTAGACGGATGCTACTTAGCTATTGTAAAAAACTTGGTAGTGACAAAGTTAGCTGTTTACTTCTTCCACGGCAGGAGAGAAACTCGGCTATGAAGGAAATGGAAAATGCGATCTAAATACCTTCTTAATATGTATTATTTTTAAAGAATCTTTGTGACAAAGTAACTGTATACATGTAGGAAAGGCAATATAGATATCCATAATGGATAGGTTTAGGTCCGTACTCGGTACCATTTACATCGCATGTATCAGCTGTGTGTCATGTGACTGGTATAAAAATAGAATTGTTAAACTGAATGTAGAAAATGACGCTAGTCCAAGAGCATACGCATGTTTTTGGAGGAAAAATTGTTACACATTAAAACAGATTTACATCGGCTACCCAAAAAGTGCTGAGAGCTAGTTTGAACTATTTCGGAAATACTCGTATTTTTGCTCGAAATGCATACAATAAGTAAAAATTCCCACTTCGCTCAAATTCTGCTATGAATAAAAATTGCTATGCCGACCAGAATCAGCTCCCAGCATTTTTTAAAATATACATGATATAAGCAATTGATATTCCGTATTTCAGCTCAAACACTCTAGTCTATGCCCTTGCACTTTTGAGGTTAATTAGGAATACACTTATCGTGTTACCGATAAACTTTACATTCTCTGTCATTGTGCAGCTCCATAGCACCTAGATAAATTGATAATCTACATAATTGTATTAAATAAATTAAAGAAGATTTTAACATTGGCGATGGTTTCATATTTATTTAAGCATTTTTGTAATCATCAAACCAATGGATCGACTCCTCTGGATCACTAGTACTGCGTCGTCAAGGCTAGTGACATCATTTATGTCTCATGAATTGCTTCTAATTACTCGACAGTATTCTTTTCAAATGTTGTGATTTTACATGCTTTTATAAATAATTGATAAAATAAATGAATGCAAGTTGTTTTTTATGCATCATCATGTGGATATTAAATTGATTTTTGTTGCTTGTTAAATCTTTTATGACATCACAATGAAACTTCCCATACAGTGCATCACAAATGTGAACTCAGGCCTTCCTTAATGTAGCTGAGAAGAAAACTTACAACTGTTGCACAGGTCAGTGCAGTATACAATTATTTGTACAAAGTAGGAACTTGAACACTTGAATGCTGTGTGCTATGATAGAAGGGACATGTGACACAAGATAATCATATACAATGTTGTATATAATGGCCTAGAAATAAGAAAACGATTCAGATTTCTAACATTTTGCAATGATAAATTCAGTATAGCTTCACTAGACTCTTTGTTAATTGTAAACTAAGTCATCAGAGTGATTTTGACATCCCTAGAAAAAACCCCAGCGATTTTCTTTTATCAAGATTTCCATTTTATTTCCCTCATTGGTAAAAAACATGTACACTGTCTGGAATAACAAGTTTTACAGTAATGTTTCTTATGCAAAATAGTTATTGATTGTAAAATGAACAACTAGTTCATTTTCAAGATTTGTATTGGATACAAGATTTCTCAATAATAGGTCAGAGAATAAACAATAAATCAATCAATCAATCAATCTCTCTTGTGTCTGATTCTTTACATAGTATCCATCCTGGGTTATTGGAAGTAAAAATCAATTAAAAGCTAATATATATAAATATAACTGCATAATTAAGTTAATTATTATACATGATAATCAATGGAATTGATCATATACTGCCAGTATTGGTAAAAGCTGCAGGGATGCAATTGTATGTGGGGAAAAAATTAAAAGCAAAGAATTTTAAAAAATCAATGAGTAAATCTAGATAAATATATAGATATTGTGGAGTAAATATATATAGATATTGTGTTCGTCTCTCTTGAAGAGTATGTACTGGCTGGATAATTGTGATGTTGCCAGTATCCTAATAGGTGGCACCCACAGTGGTGGTCATTTAGATGGCACAGTTAGGCAGGTGGTGTAGGATATAACGGTGTAAATGGCACGTCTGTGGTAGGTTGTAACCTAAAACACATCCAAACATTTGTAAACCATGATTATTAGGTAGGTAGAAAATCTGTGTAAATGGATATAGAAGAATATTTACATCCACAGGATATCATCTCCTTTATTTCTTATGAAAACCATGGTCATTTATCAATACTTTATAGCCTATAAGCAAACCACCTCTACAGATTTCTTGAGCAGCGGCTCTTCCATCAATGAAACATACAGTGCCTTACATATCAAAAATACAATATTTAATGAACTTAATCCTGCTTTATAGGATTTTTTATACAGACACATAAATATAAACAATAAAATGTCTTTCTTTCTTTGTTAGTATGGAAATTAATGTCGCAGCTATTGCAGAAAAAATTTACATAACCTGCTTACACAAATATATTATCAGTGTTTGAAACTCACCTCAAAATAAACCAGACTTGCAGGGCTGACTGCTAGTTAAAGTTGTCAATCCTGCCAAAGATCTACTAGCCCAAGAAATAAATTTTTTTTAACGATTAAGTGACTGAAACCAGGTCCCCATAAATTTGATCCCAAATCTATAGAGAATACATGCAAATTTGTTCACCCGCTGCATTTGTGCATCTCAGGTGGTTGGGGATATGACTATTTCAAACACTGATATTATGTTTATTTTTTTCTGCAACATTAATTCCCTTACAAACAAAGACAGCATTTTATTGTCTAACTAAATCAATCTGACAGTACAAAACTTGGCCAGTAAAATTGAATACATAAATGCTGGAGAGATGTAAATTGCTCAGAACATTTTTGCATTCAAATTTAAATGACACAAGTTTTTTTAAAATTTCTCCATGACTACTAACCAGTTTTGGTTGCTGTAGGTTGTGTTTTTCTGGTCAAACATGTGAAACGTGTAGATCTGACGAGACTTAGCTGACTTGTTCTGTTCACTCTTGTGAACAACTTCTCCATGGATGATTACCATACTACCTGTGAAATGAATAACAACAAAGGACCTTAGGCACAGATTTTTTAACATAAATAAAGATGAAGAATTCTTTATGAGATATTTCTAGTCTCCATTCCTTTGCCTGTACTAGTGTCTATTTAAATGACACAGAATTTAAAGATTTAAATATGAAGAGGAGACAAAACACCAAATTCAAACTGAGCAAAAATAAATTTTGAATAAAAAAATGAAGTACATACAGTGAAATCCTTAACTGGTACCTTTTTTAACTGGTACTGGAATAAATTTGCTGTCATCATACTTGACAGGTGGCGCTGTAAACACAGTCTGGGGCTGACCTTCACCTTGGTCTGGATTCCTGATCATCTGCCTGCCACCATTTAAACCATCTACATAATGGAACAAAAGAATCAGGTACAAAATGTAAGGTGGAAGGGTCTACAGTGCTCAAGCTTAGACTGAACATAGTGCCGTCATTAAATTTGGCCCATCACAAGTATCAATCAATCTCCAGTGTTTAACGTAATGAATTCAGTCTACATTGTGTAAGGATGCATGTATTTTGACAATTTCCATCCATGATGTGTTTGGTAGGAATTATTCTTCTAAAATTTTCCTCCCTTGCACAATCTGATTTGATTGAACTTTGATACAACACTATAATTATTAATTCTTTCATACTTGGTGTTCAAACTCTGAAAGGCTCACCTTAACAAATATGCATAGATTAAGACAATAGAGCAAACATTTATGATGCAAACCTTTGTGTGAACCAGGAATGAACCAGAGACAACCGTTTTCCAATGTGGCATCTTCCAAGGCAATCCAAACTCCATAGAGTTTCATTGGGGTTGTGTGCAGGAAAGTGGCATCTTGATGAGGAACCACTTCATTTTTAAAAATAGAGACACCAAACTGATAAATGTAAGCATAAATATTTAATTCTGGTGGTAACATGCCATTTCATTGGCTGAAAAAATTAGTTTGTATCATTTATCCTGTGTTGCTTATACCACAATATAACTGACGTCAAAAACTTATCAATCCACTTGATGTTGCATTTAAATTTTTGTACAATTTGAAGGTATTTTGGAGGGGAAATTGTTTTCTTCTTTACAATACATGTTAGAAAATTCAATTATAAGGAATAAATTTAAGGCTTTCCAAGTTATACTGTATAACCAGGTTTAGACAGCTAGTTTACGTATATGAACCATAAAGTGGTTTATTAAAAAGTGTAAACTGTTCTAACCAGGGTTTAAAGCATGACTTGGGTAACTATTAAAATCATTCCTTACATGTCATCTGATTTTAAAAGTTCACAGCTCACCTTCATAAATATTAGAGTTTGAAAAGTCATCCTAATTAACCCCCACCCCCCAAAATTCAGTAAATGATACTTCAGAAACTGGATACAGGAGAAAACTGATAAAGTCATATACCCGGTAGGACCCGGCAGTGTGTTTATATCAATGATCTTGACCATAAAGTAAAAAACCATAACAGGTGTTAATAAACCTCTTGATCTCTAGGTGTGAATGACAAAATTAAAGGAGCAGAACCTTATAATTTTACTGGTGATCAGAATGACTAACAATACCACAGGTACCTGGGTTTTAATTCATACACATAACAAGGTGTGTATTTATACATGTATGCATAGTACCATTGTATCATAAAAATTAAAAACCAGGCAAGAAATCCATGTACACAGATCATAGAATAGAAATTATCATATTTTTGCAAAATTGAAAATAGAAAGACTCCTTAGTCAACCGGACACATCCAGTGGGCAGAAAAATAATGGCACTTACCCTCTCCTCCAATTCCTGGTTGCTGTTAAATAAAAGAAAAGAAAATTTCTAGAATTTTCAACTCCTGGTTCAGTACAACTTGTAAAACAATATCAAATGGCTGACTTTACCTTGAAGATGTACATGCTCTGACAAATTACAGGATCTTCTAACTTTAAACTCTTCCCAACATCCTAAATAAAATAGCTTTCTTTTTAAAATTAATTCTATAAGAGAATGTGGGCAAGAATATAACAGAGGAAATCAGGGGGAAATGAACATGTTGGTATATGAAGTAATCTATGATAATTTATACTTGTTAGATAGAATTCCACAGAACTGGTCAACCAATCACATTACTGCTATGTGTTGTTTGGAAAACTGTGAGATTTATTTTGTATACCTTGACCTTGTTGTTGAAGGTGATTTTGTGGAATTCCTGCTTGTAAAATTTTGGGATTTATTTTGTAGACCTTGGGCCCATTTTACAAAAGAACTTATGACTAAGACCAAAAAATTAAATTGTTTGTAAAATATTTCAAAATTAATAATTTTGTTTAAAATTGCTAACATAAAAATATTTTACTACATTCCATTTAAAGAAATTAAAATCATTTATCATTTTCAATATAATGTAAATTTTAAAGTTACAAGCATATTTAAATTTGGGTCTTAGTCCTAAGTTCTTTTGTAAAACAGGCCCCTTACCTTGACCTTGTTGTCGAAGGTGATTTTGCGGAAAGCTGGGTGAAGAATGTGGAGGGCTGTAATGGAGAAAGGAAAACAAAAATTTGTAAACAACAAGATGTGTTTGTGAAACACTGATGCCCCCGTGTGGCAGCTTATGGCGAAGGTTAAAGTTTCTTCAAATGCAAGTCAAAATCCAGGCCAAAAGATAAGAAATGTTGATACCCAAAGAAAGGTCTTGTCTCGAGGAATACACCTGTGAAATTTGAAAGACCTAGATACAACTGTTCAGAAGTTATGGCGAAGGTTAAAGTTTTTTAAATAAAAGTCAAACGTCAAGGTCAAGGTCAAAGTGGTTGGTATCCAAAAAAAAATCTTGTCACAAGGATTACATATGTGAAGTATGAAAGCCCTAGCATCAACCATTCAAAAGTTATGGCCAAGGTTAAAGTTTTTCAAAAGTAGGTCAAACTCCTAGGTCAAGGTCAAAGGGTCAAAGTGGTTGGTATCCAAAGGAAGGTCTTGTCACAAGGATTACATATGTGAAGTATGAAAGCCCTAGCATCAACCATTCAAAAGTTATGGCCAAGGTTAAAGTTTTTCAAAAGTAGGTCAAACTCCTAGGTCAAGGTCAAAGGGTCAAAGTGGTTGATATCCAGAGGAAGGTCTTGTCACAAGGAATACACATGTGAAGTTTGAAACCCTAAGCACCAACTGTTCAAAAGTTATGGCCAAGGTTAAAGTTTTTCAAAAGTAGGTCAAACTCCAAGGTCAAGGTCAAAAGGTCAAAGTTGTTGGTATCCAAAGGAAGGCCTTGTCACAAAGAACACACATGTGAAGTTTGAAACCCCAAGCACCAACTGTTCAGAAGTTATGGCCAAGGTTAAAGTCTCATAAAATTTTGCAAAAGTAGGTCAAACTCCAAGGTCAAGGTCAAAAGGTCAAATATGATGGTACCAAAAGAAAGGTCTTGTCACAAGGAATACACATGTGAAATATGAAAGTCATAGCTCCAACCAATCAAAAGTTATGGGCAAGGTTAAAGTTGACAACAGACAGACAGACAAACAGACAAATGGACAAACAGAAAAACGGACAAACAGACAAATAGATAAACAGACAAACAGACAGACAGGACAAAAACAATATACCCCCGGGATCTTTCGATCCGGGGGCATAAAAACAAGAGAGGATGTGGAAAATATAATCTATTGATAATATCACTAGTCCCTGGGACAAAAGAGGAATGACGGAATTCACAGTTTGTACTTACCATGTCCTATTTTATTTAATGATTTGTGTTTATCCACAAGCAGATTACCTAAAATAAGAAAATAAGACCCAATGAAATTGAACTAAGTGGGACCTTCACCTAGTAGTCATATGATATCATTTAAAGTGGATTCTTAATGACTTTAAGTGGATATGCTAGTACCATCTTTGTCTTTGGCGCCATCCTCAAAGAAGAATCTGATCTTGTCTCCACTTGTCATAAAATAATCATCAGAGGTCTACAATCAAATTACACTGAAGCATTAACGAATAATAACAGAATCTGATCTTGTCTCCACTTGTCATAAAATAATCATCAGAGGTCTACAATCAAATTACACTGAAGCATTAATGAATAATAACAGAATCTGATCTTGTCTCCACTTGTCATAAAATAATCATCAGAGGTCTACAATCAAATTACACTGAAGTATTAATAAATAATAACAGAATCTGATCTTGTCTCCACTTGTCATAAAATAATCGTCAGAAGTCTACAATCAAATTACACTGAAGTATTAACGAATAATAACAGAATCTGATCTTGTCTCCACTTGTCATAAAATAATCATCAGAGGTCTACAATCAAATTACACTGAAGCATTAATGAATAATTCAAAATAGACATAACAGCTCCAACAAACAGAATTATTTTACATGCAACATAATTTATCTTTATAAATAATCAAGTTAAACACATTAAACTCGTAGTGACAATCAAAACTGGTTCAGAGCTGAGAAACTCTTGTAAATAAGTACCCATTTCATCTCTAGAGTGGAGAATACAGTATTATGTTACATAGCCATAGAACTACTGTAAATCAGTACCCATTTCATCTCTAGAGTGGAGAATACAGTATTATGTTACATACCATGTAACATACCATAGACATACTGGAAATCAGTACCTATTTCATCTCTAGAGTGGAGAATACAGTATTATGTTACATAGCCATAGAAATACTGTAAATCAGTACCCATTTCATCTCTAGAGTGGAGAATGCAGTATAATGTTACACAGCCATAGAAATACTGTAAATCAGTCAGTACCCATTTCATCTCTAGAGTGGAGAATACAGTATTATGTTATAGAGCTATAGTACTCCTGTAAATCGGTACCCGTTTCATTACTATAGAAGTGAATACTGTATATTATTATACCTCTACTGTTATTACTCTATGTAAACTGAATACCATAAAACTGTCTACTCCCCCATCTGAGGACTACTCCTTGTAAAATTGGAGCTACTCCCTAGGACTACTCCCGCATTAATATTTTTAACCAATCAAAATGTTATTAGCTATGTAACTATGACATCGAAACATTTTGACTTGCGATGTCAAAATCATACTGGATTTAAAGCAAAATGACGACCAATTCTTTAAGCTATCCTTGAAACTGTTTTAATTTTTATGCATGTTTTTATTTTCTTCAATACTGATGCATTAGATATCAAACAAAATTTTAGTTACATGTATTTGTGTTTATTTGAATGCCTCCATACTGTCTAACAAGAGGTCGATGGGCGACATCGCTCACCTGAGCACACTGGCTAGGAAAAAGCAAAAATCAGTTCAGTATTGAAAAGTTAACATTGGGTGGGTTGGGGTGGGTGGGTGGGAGGGGGCTTGAATTTAAACTACCTGAGGATGCTTCCATATCAATATAACAAATGGCTTTGTTGTTCTTGAGCAGAGGATTTTGTCCAATATATTCCTTTGTAAAAATTTGATCCCCAATTGTGGCCCCTCCCTACCCTACCCCCAGGGGTCATCTTTTGAACAAACTTGAATCTACACTACCTGAGGATGCTTCCATATCAGTATGACTAAACATGGCTTTTCTGTTCTGGAGAAGAAGATTTTGTCCTATATATTCCTTTGTAAAACTTTGATCCTCCATTGTGGCTCCACCCTACAGTGGCTGCAACGTTATTGTTGACAACTTACATGAACGATCACGTTACACGAACGATTCCGCACGATTAACACACAATAAAATCTGTTACACGAACGATCCTTCACGCACACAATTCTACACGTTACAGGATCTTACACGATTGCTAATGCAAACGCGCGATTCTTCAGGAAAAATAGTTCAAATTCTTTAGGAATGGATATTTTCAAAACGAAATAAGGCTTAATACTTATTTTAGATTTAAAATCATTATTGATATTATTTCATCGACTTCGAAAAATGAAAAAAAAAATAGAAATGGATATTTCTGAAACTAAATACATATATAAAGACTTATAAATTATTTAAGATTACAAATAATTATTTACGCAATTCTCCGACTAAAGAAAAAACTGATTTTTTTCATTCTATCAGAAGATGTACATGTAGGTAGATCGTGCATGTTGATTGAATTGGATTTCATAATATGCAGAAAGGGATAAGTTTGAAAAAAAAGGCATGAAAATGAATTAAATTATAAGTTATATCCATGTTTCCATCTGTGAATCTCTAAACTCAACAATTATTTTAGAAATCATTTATTTGCAGAAATTATGAAAATAATTAAAAGTAAGCTCCAGAGATAAACACTGATAAACGAAACCCCGACAATCATGTCGTGTACATGTACATTTGCCGACTAAATATTTACTTAAGCATTGAGAATTGTTTATTTATTTATTTGTAAAAATATCTATTTTTGATCTATTGATTTTAAAAATATCTTGACCATAACTAGCAGTAAACATAATTAACATCAGAGAAAAAATTCTTAAACATCTAAGAACGGTTTATCAAATACAATCACGCTCTTTGACGAGAACACAATATTGTAAGACTCACTATATTGCTTATTTCCAAGCGATAATTAGTTCGTTCTGCTTTCAATTATGTAAATCGCGCTTCATTTATTTTATTTGGATTGGAAAAAAAACCAGACAAGCGAAATGCTTGTATAACAAATAATATTCCGATAAAAACTTACAACTCGAAATTTACACGTTTCTTAACGCACGATCACGCACGATTACAACCGCAAACGATTGAGTCTGATACATGCACGATCTCACACGTTACACGAACGATCACGCACGTTACACGAACGATTCCACACGATTGGTTTGTCAACAATAACGTTGCCACCACTGTATCCCCGGGGGGGGGGGGGGGGGGGGGGGGGTCATCATTTGAACAGACTTGAATTTACACTATCTGAGGCTGCTTCCATATCAATATGACTAAGCATGGCTTTGCTGTTCTTGAGAAGAAGATTTTTTCCTATATACATGTATTCCTATGTTAAACTTTGATTCCCATTTGTGGCTCCACCCTACCCCCAGGGGTCATGATTTGAACAAACTTCAATCTACAGCACCTGAGAATGCTTCCATATCAATATGACTAATCATGTCTTTGCTGTTCTTGAGTAGAAGATTTTAAAAGTTTTTTCCTATATATTCCTATGTAAAACTTTGATCCCCCATACTGGCCCCACCCTACCCCCAGGGGTCTTGATATGAACAAATTTGAATCTACACTAAGTAAAGAAGGTTTCCTATAAGTTTCAACTCTTTCAGCCCAGTGGTTTTTGAGAAGAAGATTTTTAAAACATGAACCAAATTTTCACTATTTCTGAATTTCCTCCCCTTGAAAGAGGGTGTGGCCCTTCACTTGAACAAAATTGAATTCCCTTCAGCCAAGGATGATATGTGGTAAGTTTGGTTGAAATTTGCCCAGTGGTACTGGAGAAGAAGTCAAAAATGTGAAAAGTTTATGGATGGACAGACAGCTAGACAGACTGAGTCACTGACTACAGACAAAATGTGATCAGAAAAGCTCACTTGAGCTTTCAGCTCAGGTAAGCTAAAAATGTCTGAGTATCTGGATTACTAAATCTCCTTAGACTTTCGGCATAATAAAACAGTTACGGAATGGGTACTCGGAAAATAGCAATTTATAGTTCCCCTCGGCAAGAAACTATTTCCTTGGTGGCTTGACCAACTAGGGAAATAGTTTCCTCCCTTGGGGAACCATAAATATGCTATTTCCCTCATACCCATTCCATAACTGTATAATGTTACAGAGCTATGGAACTCTTGTGAATCAGTACCCTTTTCATCTCTAAAGTAGTGAATACTGTATTGTGTTCCTCTGGCTTCATATCATCCACAAGATCATGGCAGGCTGACAACAGACTGTTACATTCCTCTGGTGTGATGAAATCCTCTACTAACAAGTAACCATCTCTCTCAAACTACAGAAAATAAGAATTAAAATAAAAACAAAAATATGTATTTTAAAGTGTGTGCCACAGTATATTTTTACATGTGGGCCTATTCTCCATAGAGAATAACTGCTGTACTGCTCTTTTGCAGGGTTCTATATGTCAACAAAAACTTCGCCAAACACTATTAACCTGTCCTGCAAAAGAGTACCTCCACAGTTTTAGTGAAAGGACTCAGCCCCGTGAAGCTTTATCATAATCTCAGCAGAGATTCAGCTAGGCTAGATATTTGGACTGACGCATCGGTGAAGAATCGAGCCGAATCTTTGTCCAGATTAGCTTTATCACAACTGAACTTGGGTCTTGGTTAATAAATATGGGGTACTACTAAACAGAGAACCCTCAAGAACTAGAGAACCTTAGAGAAGTTAAAGAACCCTAATGAATAATTATTTATTGTATTTCAGTGATTTGTTTATGTTTTCTTATATTTAATATGTCATACAAAAACAAAATAGTATTTTTAACAAATATTTTTCATACATTTTATGCTTACAATCGACGAAATACTAACCTCTGAAGACTTTATATCATACTTTTTGTAATAAAGGTGATAAAAATTAATTTTATTTATTTTGGGGGACAAGAATAGAATGAATGAATAAGCGTTCTACATAATTTTTTAACATAAAATGAAAAAAAGAACTGTAAAATATTGTGATAAAACAACGACGTTAAGGAAATTCAATCGGGATCGGGATGACAAAAAATATTTCACAGACTAAAATCAACCATCATTCCTAAAATAAAATAATAATCTTTTTATTAATTTTATTATTAGAATATGATATATAAAGTGATTATCAGCTCAGTTGTGTAGCATATTTACTTGAATTAATCAAATATAGCTAGAGTTCTTCAGAGTTCTCTGTTAGTTTTTATAAAAATAGGGCAGAAAAAAATATGTATACCTATAAATATGGCTTTTACACAATGACATTTATAGATATCATACATGTTTATTACATAACCAAAACCAAAGTACCTGTGAAGTTTATGCTAATCTGATTTTGCACACTTCGACTATTTTTAGAAATACATTACATGCGAAATACCTGCTCCATCTGCTTACTGGACAGCGCCATGTTTGTTTACAGAATTTTTTGTAGGTCAAGCTTTTTTCAGTCTGGTTCCCTCCCCCGCCACTGCGTTTTCAATTCGTTGGGATTAATAAACAGTATTGTCATAAGATCATTACAAGCTTATCTTATAAAAAGATTGGTGAGCTAGCGCTGTAGCATAATAAAATACAGAAGAAGATATCTGAACCATCTGTTAAATTTGCTGAATCGATTAATTATTAATAGGAAGGTAGATTGGTTGCACTGCGGGTTGAGTTTGGGGGGGTGTGTCACAATTCAGAATGGTGAATCTAAGATGTGCTTCACGTCGGCAATGGCATAACTCCTAACTGTGCTTTAAGCATTCTGTATTTTACTGTAATTTCAATTTCGAGGTGAAAAACAAAAAGGTCAGTAGAACCAATGAGCACCTTCGGGCCTTTCCGGCAAGCTCGGAAAACATGTCCGAGGTTGCCGCGGTTTTCCGAGCTTGCCGGAAAGATCCATAAAGGTAGATAAGAAAAGCTATGTATTCATTACAACTTTAGAAATAACAGTCTTGGTTTTATAAGACCCGAGTTACTGTTACTTTTTGTTCATTTACGTGCAGGTTAGACAACAAAACACAAAACTTCAGATCATATATGTATTTTCAGATGATAAACACTAAATTGACATGTCAGTCTTTCCGACATACTCTGAAAAAGATTTTTTTGTTGTTGTTGTTTTTTTCCGAGCTTGCCGGAATTATCCACTAAGGTCGTAAAACTGTAAGGAAAGCTAGATGTCTAGAATCTTGGCATTATATGGCCAAATTTTTTCTTGTACTGTTATGTGTAGGTTAGACAATAAATTTAAAAAAAATCAGAATCCGGATCTAGACTGGTATTGACTGTCTCTAACCTACGAAATGTATATCGCGTAAATCAGACAGGAAAGGCCAGTGTAAATTCGGATCATTTCTATTTTTGTATGACAAAACGAAATTGTTATCGTACAGTCTATCTACAGTAGTTTTCCCAGAATCCCCGACCGTGAAGTCGAGCATGCGTATTTCAGAAACATAGACTAACGTAGTTGCTAGCGCTTGAGAGCGCTAGCAATGAATTACAATTTGAAATGCCATGACTTGTATAGACGACTTTCACATTTCCCTTTGTCAATCTGGGGTCAACCGCTGTTTTCCCTCTATATATCTACTATATATGAAATTCTTAATCCAGCAGATGTTAAATCAACAAGAAATATATGTAACTTCATATGTGATGCATTTAATATAAGAAAATCTGTGTGACTATATATTTGTTTACTGTATGTATGACTTGCGCCACGTGTGGTTTTTGACAAATTAAATAAAATAAAAAAATATATAATATGTTGACGGTGCGACCGTTGGGGCGAGCGCAGTGTTCACTTCATTATTATGATCCGCCTCTTCAAACCGCACGAGACATTTGGAACGTCTAGACTGTGACGTCACATGACGTCGTATGTTAGCTGCATTTCCATAAACAAAGTTTAAAAAGTGCAAATATTTTAACAAAGAACGTTTAATCTACTATCTGCATGCAATATCCATTAACTTAAGGTGAGTTTATTTTGTGTGAATTTTTAGTTGTTGTCACCGCGTGAACGAAGTTAGCAGCGAGAACAAGAAGCGATGCATTGTGGGTCAGAATTACTGCGGAAAAAAATTCTATTGAATGAATGTGCAGTAGTCCGAATTTTCTCTTCGCCCAGGCGTTGTCGTTAGAGCTCGCAGTGACGAGCGGCGCTTCGCGCCGCTCGCTGCGCTCGCTATTACTAACTTCACTTGCAGATTTAGAGGGAGGGCCCCCCCCCACCCCATAGAGGGAGCCCCCCCCCATTGTGTCCAAAAATATACATTAGATTCAATAAATCGATTTTTTGGTGTGGCCCCTGGGCCCCAACCCGACCCTCAAATCCCCCCCCCCCTTTTCAAGAATCCTGCATCCGCCACTGAACTTTATCACTTTATGGGCAGGGTCTTATACAAATTTTTCATTTAGACTTTTAGATTTAAAATATTTTTTCTCTCTTCATTCAATATATCGTATGTGATTTTAATTAAATCCAATATTTATAATTATTTAAAGAATTAATAACGATTTTTTTTCCTCATGCAGCTCTGTTTTCATGTAAAAATGAATATTAACTGTTTTCATGTAAAAATGAATATTAAAATTTGTAAATTTACTTATTGAACTTTTCTCTGGTCATTGTGTAAAGATCAATCAGTAAAAAAAAAATACTGTAAATTATCCTCGTAAAGAAAAAGTAGCAACAATTTTTACATGATAGATCACCTGTTAAAAATGATCGAACAGGTCTGCATTTTTACTAAGCTCTGTTCCTTATTCCTTAACATTAGGTTATTATTGATGATGGTATTTTTTGGATTTGAATTATTTATTCTACACATGTGTCTCTCAATACACTTGTACAGAGGCACACCTTGTACTTAGGTTTAAACTTTTAATTTAAATGCTTCTGTGAACATTATGTGAATTTCTCTCCCACAATTTATATAAATACTTATACACATAATCCTGTTGTGGTGTACGAAAGCCTATTAGGATCAAACTATGGTAAAAAAAAATTAAAAGGCGTTATAACGCCTTTTTAAAAGGCGTTATTACGCGTAAAAAGGCGTAATAACGCCTTTTGAAAAGGCGTTACAACGCGGAAAAAGGCGTAATAACGCAAATAAAGGCGTAATTACGCCTTTCCAAAAGGCGTTATAACGCCTTTCTAAAAGGCGTTATTACGCCTTTCCAAAAGGCGTTATTACGCTTTTCTAAAAGGCGTTATTACGCCTCTCCAAAAGGCGTTATTACGCCTTTCTAAAAGGCGTTATTACGTCTTTCCAAAAATTTATAACATAATTTATAATATTATAAATACATGTATAATCTAAATATTGCATAAAGATGGCTTTGGTTCAATCTTTCATATATTTACTATTTTAAAATAACGCCTTTCCATTTTTGGATACAACTCCTTTTCAAACAGGCCGGTAGTACGAATGTGAGTGGGGGGGGGGGGGGGGTCCCCCACCCCACTTTTTGGGAGAATAGTCTTGCTATAGTTTAAATATAAAAAAAATCATTAATTGATTGCTTGGTCCCTTAACATTTTGTTGCAGTATGGTTAAACTCGGGCAAGTCATTGCATTTAAAAAAAGTTTTACCGAAAAATTAGAAAAAGTTTCCCCTCAAGTTTAGGCAGTTTATTATTTTTTTTTCGGGGGGGGGGTCTTGTTTTTTTGTTTGCTTGTCAATTTTATGGGACCCCCCCCCCCCCCACACACACACACTTTAAAAGCACGGGCCTGTCAAAAACATAATAATGGCCCTTCAAAAGGCATAATAACGCCTTTTTGAAAGGCGTATTAATGCCTTTTAAAAAGGCGTAATAACGCCTTTTGGAAAGGCGTAATAACGCCTTTTTAAAAGGCGTAATAACGCCTTTTTTCGCGTTATAACGCCTTTTGGAAAGGCGTAATTACGCCTTTATTTGCGTTATTACGCCTTTTTCCGCATTATAACGCCTTTTCAAAAGGCGTTATTACGCCTTTTTTCGCGTTATAACGCCTTTTGAAAAGGCGTTATAACGCCTTTTAAATTTTTTTTTTTTACCGTAGTTTGATCCTAATAGGCTTTCGTAGGTGGTGTCATTCTTTCCGAGTCTTGTTTTTTTTTTTAAGGATGACTGCACTTAACGCCTGTTTTTGGGTCTTTTTCGGTTACTTCTGTTGGTTTTATATCTAAACCTTATCTCACTTTTGTATGTTTATGAAAGAATACTGGCAATTTGGAACCACATTTGAATCTTAAAATGATTTTAGACTGTGATACAATAAAATGATTCAATGTTTTCTGTCCATTACTGCTTTCCAAATATAGTGAATTTACACTTACCTGCCCTTGATTGAACATTAGATATGCATGAGAGGTGGAGCTAACATTGTAAGAATGGCTCTAAAATTAGACTACATAAATAACAATGACATGTTTGGAAAAACGAACGTGATCTCTCTTTCCAATCTCCCTCTCCATTCTGTATGGCACTAATACACTTCTGACAAAGGTTCCAGAACGAAATTAACAATATGAGCACGTCAATGTAATTAAAGCAAATTTTATATCAATGCCAGATGACTTAACCTGTTCGAACACAATGTCCTAGTTAGCACAAAACATGCTTCCTTACAAGTCACGTGACGGAATTTAGTATTCACAAAGTTAACTGAGGTAAGAAATCACGTGGTGAATTATAATATTCAACATGTCACAATCCTTGGTTACAATACAGAGAGCGAATGTAAGAAGAAGCAGTTTTTTTTCTCTTTTTAACCATGAGGGCATGTTTGTCTATTAATCTCCTTTTGACACATCATTATTTATGCAAATATACATCTACTGTTAAACGTAGAACAATAGACAAACTATGTATAAAGTCAGTAAAAAAGTGGGCGTCCTCATTATCGAACGGAGATTCAAGAAATTGTGATGACCCCTGCCTTTGAAAACAGATTCGAACTTCGTAAATACACACTTTTATTAAACGTAATTACATAAAGTTGTAGAATGGATGTTGACCATTCTTGCAATGAAAAGAAAAATGCTTGTTTTGAAAGTTTATTTTGTCGCAAATTCTGCATGTCCTTAAGTGCAATCATCCTTTACTTAGCGTTAAAGTCTGGGCATTGGAAGAAAATATCTCAGGATAAAACATTTGTGATCGAATCAAAACATTTTAAAATTAATTTAATCTAAATATTCTTCCCAAATTACGTACAATGTACATGTATACTAAATCTTGATGGAATTCTCAGGAGCGTCATGGTATCAAACTCGATGTTAAAAAGAAAAACTAGGCGATGATATTGAAAAAAAAAAAACTTTGATGTGAATAGGCATGGAAGTAATGGAATAACGTTTGATAAAATTATAAATAGTGAATATATTTATACATAGAAAGACTATTAGGAAGTTGCGGTAATAAATTTATCAGTAAAATTTGTATACATGTATTTGCTTTTTATCCTTGACGGAAATGGAAACAGGACATCATGACAACGAATCCGAAGTACAATATTAATATATATATTATTTTAATTGTTTAACTCAGTAAATCAAATTGGTTTGTTTGATATCAAGTGCAAAATTTTATTTTTACGATATTGACTTGAAAATAAAGGGAAAATCCAAAAACTGTTTATAATGGTGAAAAATCGTTAAATCTTACAAATTCTGATATAATGAATTTGTCTCTTATTCATTCTGAAGAAAATACTATAACAAATGTTATTATTGCTAAAAAAAAAAAAGATAAAAGAAAAAAATACAACTGCGGATTTTGAACAAAGGATAATTTGAAGTATTTCTTCTTGCTATAAGGCTTTCATTCAGTAGTAACTACTAAGATATACATGTATTGAAATTGTTCTTTCACCAGTGGTAAAAAATTCAATTCTCCACGCTTTTGCGGGGGTTCCTCTAGTTTGAGTTCAGAAGAATAGATTACACGACCGACAGAGACACCGGTACCTATACTAATCGGGTCAAATGCTGGTCAGGGTCTCGATGGGTGTTTCTTATAGGTCATGGAGATTCACTAACAAAACTTCGAATTGACGGCCAACGTCTCAAATAGGTTCTGCCAGCAAGTTACATGTAACACCTCCTCGTTTCAGTGACACACAAATGCCACCGTAGCTGAGTAAGAGGGCCTAAAAGCGAATCCCTGGAACCTGTGATTATAAGGGAAGGAAACCCGAATGAAAAGCGATTGTCCCCCAAGCGCAGGGTTCTTCCTTAGGATTAGCAAGCCTAACAAGAAAAAGAATTATCTGCTACAGAAACAAAAACCGAGGATAAAAGAAACGAGGGAATGGTAGAAGCCGCTCAGAAAACTGAACTTATGATGGATGGCAGGAAACTGACCTCCAGATAATGGACATCCCAGGCCCGTAGGAAGCAATTTCAGTGTAGGGGGGGGGGGCAACCATACATTTTTCAGTTGACAGTTGAGGGGGCACTACCAAAATTCCAAAAATTTCCTGACAAGCAAAAAAAAAAAAAAAAAAAAAAAGGTCATCAGACGCTTTTATTGAGGGGCACAAGCATATAGTATCTATGTTTACTATAGTAATCTATATATCGGCAAAATTATTGGGGGGCACGGCCCCCCTCCCCGTGCCCCCCCCCCCCCCCCCCCCAGTTCCTACGGCCATGCATCCTCAGCTCTAAAAGAAGTATGGAGAGCCGGATTGTCCGCATCTCTACCAGATAAATCTTAAATGAAATGGATGGGTATAACTTCCAGACACATTATAGCATCCCAAACAAAATCATGCAGATTCTTTACAATGACTTCCAAGCAAAAAGGATCTGCAGAACAGAATAGACAGGCAGTTTCCCAAAACAAAGGGAGAGCGACAGAAATGTGCTTTCACTTTTGCTCCTTACTTTCTCAAAGATTGGCTGAAAATCACAACCAGTCAGGCCTATAAAGGAATATCCTGGACATTCCAATAGTCATCAGGAGACCTTGACTTTGTAGATGACATCCCTTTACTAGTACAGTAACTTAAGGATATTCAAAGTAAAACTGATGACCCAGCCCAGTATGGTAGGAAAATAGGGCTTAATAGAAATGTCAACAAAACAAAACTAATGAAGATAAATACAAAGGTAGACAAAGAAGTCACAGCAAACAGCCATAGAATACAGGAAGTAGACAATTTTGTATACTGGTATCTGGACAGCCAATGAAGATTTCACTATTGATGTAGGATCTAAAATAGCATAAGCCCATGTCGCCTTTGCAAACCTGCGGAATATCTGGAAATCGTAAGGAATCAGGACCGTAATGAAAATAGAATATTCAAGACAATTCTTCTTGTTTTTCTTTATGGTTCCGAGTCCTCGAAGGTGACAAACAAATCACACAAAAACTATATACCTTCCAAACAAGATGCATCCGTAGAATGCTTAAGATAATCTGGCCAAACAGAATCAGCAATGAGGAGCTGTACGAAAGAGCATACACAGCTACCATATCTGACCAGATTAGAGAAAAGCGATGGACATGGATTGACCATGTCTTAAGAATGAAAAAATCAGAAATATATAGGGTAGTTCTAAACTGGACTCCACCAGAAAAGAGAAACAGAGGACGACCAAAGGAGATATGGCGGTGATAAAAGCATAAGAGTAAAAGAAATGAAAGACCAAGGATGGTCTTGGAGCATGGCACAGCATATTTCCGCTGACAGAAAGATATAATGGTATTCGTTAAAAAGACCATTTGTGTGCTCCAAGCACGAAGAAGAGAAAATAAGTAAGTAAACCAGAACCAGGTATGAAGCATGTAACAACATACTAGTATAAGAGTAATAAGATTTATTATTACTATTGCATTTTAGAGGAATTTGACTTAATTCTACATTTTGTAATCCATCTGTGCCAATAGTTCCCTTAAGTTTGTCAGGAAGGGATTCTTGAAAATCGCAAGTCAGTTTTAAATATTTTCGATATTTCCAACAATCAACTTGATTTTGAGATGCCATTCCTATACCTATTCCAAAACTTCATAAAAATTCTTACAAAGATACATAGCGTGATCAAAGTCTTTACACCTCACAAACATTTTGCAGCAGCTGTGAACGAGAAACTTTAGTAGTACGTGCAACATATTCAAGAAGCGGTATATAAAAAAAATGTGGATGTTAAAAAGCCCTTAACATGAAATAACTTAGAAAATTTGACCCCCCCCCCCAAATTTTGCAAGAAATAAATAACATCTTCACTTTCAACAACCACGATAAATGTAAAAATAGGATTTTTGACATCAAATATACAACTGCTTCTTCATTAAAAAAAAAAGAAGAACTCGAAAATTTTCATATCTTGTGGTTGGTCATCCACAGACTCTTTAAAAATGTAATACAGAATATACATACAAGTACTGTGAAGTTGATATAAAAAATTTACATTGTCCTCTTTGTCAATATCGAAGTAGTCTTTAGAGACCAGATCTTCCAACAATCTGTTGGAATTCCTATGGATACTAATAATTAGCCCCTTTATTAGCAGACCTGTTTTGTATTCTTATGAAGTAGAATTTATTCATAAACTTCTACATGAGAAGAAACCGCTTGCTGTGGCGTTCAATTCAATATTGAAATATATCATTTTCAACCATACACTGGTTCTATATATTCCACGGAATTCGAGATTAAAGACACCACAGAGTCTGACACTCCGTTTCATATTTGGATGTTTTACTGGATTAAAGACATTGATGGCAAACTAACACCTGAACTTTATGAGTAACGTGATGACTTCAACTTTTGTATCTTCAGCTTCTCTTATTAATTTAACACCTTTATCACCTGCATATGATGCTTATGTCCCCTTGTCGATTCGATGCAGGTTACTGATAAATAAGTTAATAATACAAAGGTATCAACAATTTCATTTAAAGTCAAAGTTTTGCAAATTCTATGGTTGATAAATACATGTAACTTTAATTGCAAAAACAACCTGTCGTTAGGTCGAATATTATACAACTTCTTCAATGCAAATTTTAAGACAATTATTTTCATACTGAATGGTCTTCGGAATAGTCCGTTTACCCGACCAAGACAAAGGGACCACAGTGAATGTGACCAGTCGACAGGGGATGCTTACTCCTTCATGGCATCTTAACCTCCCATGTTTTTGGAGGTCCATATTTGCTCTTCTCTCAATTTGTATTGTTTAATTGAACATTTAAGCATGATTTCATTAGATCAAAGTTTACTAAAAAGAATTGATTAATTTTGAGTTTCATAATAAGTCATATCACAAATTCTTTTGCTTTGATATACTAGTAAGTACACTTGACGGTCAGCAGGTACTGTACATAAATTATGATTTTTAAGAGGTTAGAAATAAAAGAGCAAAGAAAAAAAAACACACAAGCAAATTTAATTGACCTTTACTTCTTGTTCATTTATCTAATAAAGAATATATAAGAATATTTCGCAAAAATTGCTTAGATTTCTGGACAATGAACACATCCAGAATTACGATACTCCTTAAAATAAGTAATAAGTCGTCAAACAATCCATCGATAGCGGACATCGTGTGTATACTGAAGACCTGTTTATTGATGGTATACATGTATATATTTTTCAATTAGAGTGTACTGAAAATGTTGAACTCGATACAGGTAACGGTAATCAAATATTTAACTTCGCCAAGTCTGCTTTAAATGGCTACATTAATGGTGAGTCAATCGATAGTACACTGAAGAGTTGTTTGACAAATCAAGACTTATCAGCAATTTACACAGCATAGTTATAATTTCCACTTTTATTTATCAGTTCACTTAGAGAGCGCCTATGATATTTCATTGTCACTAAAACAATTGTTTTGCACATCTTTACTTTTGAGAGTTAAATGCTTTGGTTTTAAGTTGGATATATACAAAACAACGTAAATCCCGAAACCAGTCTATTTCCCGAGGCAAAATCTCAATTGAAAGTAAATTTAAAAGTAGCCCTCAGAGTCTCTCACTTTACTCATGTTGCGTATACTACAGTAAAATAAAAACAATATCTAAATCGTAAATGGATATCGTGTGTTAATAAAATAAACTTCCATACACCCCGTGCGTTGCCTTTTCTTGTATCTTATTACACATGATGGGTTTGTGTGAAACCAGAATAAACGAAAGCCAGCTTCATGTAATTGTTTAAGAAGTATCAAATGAGCTGCCACCATTCCATATGAATGAAGTTCCAGGTAAAACTGTGATACGTCCGACAGTTGGTTAGTTCGTAACATTTGTGGTGTCGATGGCCATTCGGCACCCTCTGTGTCTGCTTTAAGGACAGTTATGGGGACCTTCTCGTGATTAAGATCTTTTCTTATTTTGTTCAGCGGCGCAATATCACCAGTACCATACTTACGATATTCACCCCCTATACCTCTGTTATAAAACCAAACTTTTCTTGAATGTTTATGATTTTCCCTTTTCATCGTCGGGTCAAATGAGTATACATTGCAGTTGTATGTTCGGACCATGTCATCGTCGAAGGAGAAATCGTGGTTTATACCAAACGAATAGACGATACATCGGTTGACGTCAGTTTTTAGGATCATGTCATGACAAACGTTCCAGCCTCCGTCAACCACCCTCCCAATCCGTACGACCTGTTTACAGAAGAACTGAGTTGTCATTAAGTATTTGTAGTATAAATCTGAAATGTACGACCCATTCATTCGGCGAATATTGTCCTCTGAGGGTAAACTCATTTCTTTGAACTTTTTTGTTGTATCTGCTAACGATTTTTGAACAAAATAGACTGCGTAACATCTATTATATTTGTTGGTTGATGCGCACTGAAAGAGTCTGTCGAACCATATTATACGCAGACCTGCTCCAAAGAGCATTTTTAAACGTTTTAGAAGTGTCACATAATCTGACTTTTTCATCACTGCAGGATCGAAATGGAGTTCCAACAGTAGCTGTTTCACTCTTCCAATGGACCGCTCCTTCACCATTTTATCAATTATCTCCAACTCGGGATAAGTACTTACTGAAAGGGTAAGTACATCAATTATATCATTCGATGTATTTGTCTTCGTAATCCAGCCTTGGAGAGAATTGGTTTGGGAAAGCGGGGTGGTAAACGTTCGACAACGATACCTTGCTTTTATATCGGACAAGAAAAAATTGTCCGTAAACTTCTTGTTGGAGGAAAAAACAACACAATTATTTTTTGGAGCAAAGGCTGGGTCCGAGCAAATGTACCACCCGTTTCTGGGAATTTGACCAAAACGTTGTTTATAACCACAGAAATACTGCAAAGTGGTCACATAGCGGTGGTATAAACACCTGACGATGTTATCAGGAAGGGATAAGAGTTCACTTTCGTTTGGTATTTTAAAAGGTTCTTCTCCATTCGATGTGTATTTTTCTGGAATCGTCACAATACAGTTGGTATCTGATTTAGGCTTAAATACCCCTGGTTGTTTGGGTGCTGAACCTTTCACACCTGGTTTCTTAATGTAGTTGTTTACAGAATGGACCGGAGTTCCTGGATTTTTGTCCACTTTTGGCATGATATAGACCTTTTGTATGGTGTCTCTGCTTCCTCCATAGTAGTAGGCGGACATCACGCCCACTCCCACACCTATTACTACGGCGATTGCTATGTATGAACGCCTTGACATCCTGCAACCAAAAAATCATAAATCTTGCAACTTTGTATTGTCATAAAATTTGAGGGAAGAGAAAAGAATGTATGACACTGACTCCCTTAATCGTTGTAAAATTGTAGACTGTTACAGAAAATTAGTACATCTTATAGCAAATGTCTAGAATATACAGATCTGACTACAAAGAAGACCTTAAGGAACTTTCGATAATTTTCGACAGATCCTAAATGGGCTTCCGTAGTGAGCAATGAGGCAATATTTCAGATTCAACTTTAACAAGTTAAATTGATGCAAAGCATCAAACCGGCCGCAAAAATATATCATTTTAGCATTTTAAAGAATTTTTGCAAAAATCGAATCTAAAGTAAAAATTCAAAATAAAAAAAATCAACTACCATGTATGGTACAATTTTTTATACTCTAATTTTCAGTGTGATCAAACAAAATAAATTCAAGGATGTAAAAATAGGATAGTATCATCACAAAATTGACACGAATACAAATGCAGCACATATCTAAAATGACTTATTATGAATGTCTGAATGCTACAAAAAAGGACGTACAAACTTCACGTGTTGATATCATTGGATCTCTGTCATGTGATACAACCGATGTTCTATATCAAAATATATATGAAGTGCAGAAAAAAATCGTTATGTCATTTGCAACTGTTATTAATGTATTCAAAACACAATTCACTTCTGAAAAAACTTTTTCAAATTGTTAATTATTTTAGGCACTGTATTCATATCCGGAAACTCAATACGTTTTATTTCTATATCTTATGCACGCCCATCATGCAACAACGTTTTAAAAAATCATAAATTAGTGAATATCTGATAAGAAATGAAAAACAAACTGAAACCTAATAACAACCATTAAGACAAAGTATAAAGCAAATTTTAAAAATTTTTATTCATTACTTTTATGTTTGTTATCAACAAAGAATTATTTCATCGAGGCAGTGAAAAAATAAGGAATAATGCTAGTAATTTGATGGCAGATTTATATAATCAATGTTTAGCAGAAACTCCAATGTGTGAACATTGTGCTGGCAGTATTGAAGATGCCTATCATTACTTTTTTGTATGTCCAAGATATACAATTCCAAGAAATGTACTTTTTCAATCAATACATAATATTATAAATTGTGACCATATATCTGAATGTGATTTATTGATAAATGGTAGTTCTAATCATGGACTTGATATTAATATACAAATATTTGAAGCTGTACATATATTTATAGCAGCAACAAAGCGATTTATATAATCACTGTCATATACATATGTGGTATATTGTAATACTCTCAATATTTCCAAACCGGTACTACTTTGTACTCTTGCTTATTTTTTATTATTTTTCTTTTTTCTATCCTTTTGTAATTTTGCTTCTTTTGCCTTCTGTAACTTTGTTCATTTTTGTTTTTGCTTTCTTCTTTTGTACATTCTTACTTCTGCTTTAATAATTAATTTACTATGTATTTGCCTTGACCTTGATGTAGGGAGAGGGCAAAAATAGGCTGAGCCTGCTGCCCAATCCTATTCACTCTTACATCTGTGAATAAAATGTTGTTTAAATTAAAAAATAACGCCTCAATTCACAATATGCTCATATGGTCAAACACAACTACAAATAGATCGGCCTCTTCTGCGGCTGATAATAACATTTCCTGTCATTGCAATGATGATGATACAAGAATATAAAAAAAGGTTTTGCAGTTATAATGAAATGTGAAGATAATACACAGTAATCAAACTCAAATATCCATTGAAACAATATCAATTGTGAATTGAGCAAACACGACCGCTAAATACATCAGAGGAGGTATCAGGTGCCATGGAGGAGTAAGAATCCCCAGTCGACCGCTCACACTCACGTTGTGCTCTATGTCACGATTGGGTGATCGGAAAAATTCATGGACAATTCAGTATGAAATTGAAATAATGGCCTAACAATTTGTATGAATGAATTTGTATAATAACAATATGTATGAATTTGTATGAAAGACGTCAGTCAACTTCATGAAACAGAGTACAAAGATGTAATAAACAAGTGTAATTTTACCAGAATTGTAAAATACTGGACCACTAGGTAAAGTGTTTTGGTGCTGGGCAGGGCTCTATTAATTTGTATTCTACTGAGAGGAGTTTTTCCTCTTAGCTATTTACCTATAATTAATCACACTAAATAATGTAATCGAAAGGTCAATTAAATGAGCATACAATTTTTTTTAATAATATATAATACAAAAAGCAGTTTCATAGTTTTTATTGGCCAGGTAGACGTGTAAATAATAGATAAATAAAATCGATATAAAAATACCTTATCTTTGTACATTAAATTTTATTCAAAGACCAAGAAAGACCAATGTGAGAGGGAATGAGAAGGGTTTACTAAAAGTGATCAAGCACTTTTGTTCTGTTAAGTCTGCACAGTGATGGTGGAAATGAGGACAAGTACAGACAAGTAAAAATATCTACTTTAAGTTGTTATGGAATACTGTATTTTTATTATTTTGTTGATCCCTGATTATCTTATTTCTCTTGCTATTGGGCAACATAGCTTCATCTGTCAGTTTATTTTGTTTTAATTTATACTTCTATGGATCCTTTACAGTGTTGTATTATACTGAGGTGACCGGTCAGGCCCTTGTGCTTCTTGTATCAATTAGCGGTTTTTACTTTCATTCAGATGTCGACTCGATAGTTCCCAGTGAACTCGAAATAAGATGACTTCAACTTTTCCATCGTCAACTTTCCATATTCCACCATCACCTGCATATGGTGTTAATGTCTCCCAACTGATTCGATACACAAGAGCATGCTCCATACGAGGCGGGCTACTGACAAACAAGTTGATGTTAGAGGGATTTCAACAACCTCGTTTAAAGTCAGCATTTCGTGAATTCTATTAATAATATTAGTATTAAGTATCAATATTTATATTAAATATATTATATTTATATTAATATAAAGTATTATAATGACCATGTTAGCAAATACAACCTATCATTAGGTCGTATTTTGATTGAAATAATTCATACAAATTGTTAATTATTTATTTTTATACTGAATTTGACTACAGATTACCCCGTCTACCTGATCAATACATGGGGCTGATGGCGAGTGTAACCGGTCGACAGGGGATGCTTACTCCCCCTAAGCACATGAACCCACTTTTTCCGGGGGTCGGTGCTTTATGCCCTCATTACAGATTGTATTGATTTTAGGTTTTTTTTTTAAAGACTGATCAATGTTTATTCTCTTCACCTTTTACATGCAGTTTGTATAGATCCTAGGTAAATGTCTCGTACATATTTTTATGCATACATTTTATCTGTAAGAAGTATGCCCATTGGAAATTAGCATTGTTAAGCCAGTAGTATTTCATGATTGAATAGTGAAACATTTTAATAGCATTTGACGTGGCTTTAATATCATTTAAAAATATGGCAATGAACTTTTATTGAATTTTTAAAACAGCAGAATTTTAATAATGGATTGTTGTCATTGCTCTCAATCAAATTGATCAATTCAAATGTTAAGAACTAATCACGAAGGGGTTTTGTTAGAAACTTGATGGATAAACATTTTCTACAATTGAATGCTTTATGAATAAAACAACAGAACCACTTTGTTCCTAAGGAAAATTGCAGGCCACAAGACTGATGGTTATGCCATATACGAGATATTTAGAAATTAAACATTGAATCTGCAGCTAAAATAATCTGGCAATCAACGGGCATTTGATGAAATAATCCCTCAACGGAATCTTCTGAGTATATCACAAGACAAAGAACATGTTAGAACATTCACTGAATTTAAGTGTCCTTCACTAATTTCATGATTATTAACATGCAATCGTTTTAAGATTACATTAAAAATTATTGAGGGACATAAGATAAAACCAATAATGAGGGCCCAATTACAATAATTATCATTTACAAAATCAGAAATATACCTACATGCGTTAGATCCCAGGCTTCATTTATAGGTCATTGCAACCAAAAAGCACCTCCTTTTTTATTTTATTGTGTTTAACGATTAACCCTATTCTGTTGGCTCTAAGCCGCGAAGCAGAAAATCGGCTTTATCCGTTATGTAATGTCCAGTGACCAACTCAATAAGAATAATGGTATGTGGATCAATAAGTAAGTTCTAATACGAATATATTAAAATTATTGATTTCAGAGATTATTTTGAAAAGTATTTTTGCCATTTAAATTGCATGGACTTCAGAGAGAGAGAGAGAGAGAGAGAGAGAGAGAGAGAGAGAGGATTTAAAAACCCAGAATGTTACAACATTCACATTATGACCCCTGGGTCGAGGCCTCTGCTGGTGGACTGTTAGTCCCCGAGGGTCTCTACAGCCCAGTAGCTTAGTACTTCGGTACTAGCTTGAAAATACGGATATCGGCTTGGCCAAGATCAGGTGCCCATTTCCACCCGAATGATGTTATATAGAAGTAACTCTTTACAGTTACATCTAATCTAAATATCTGTTGCTGCATTGTAAAGAGCAATGAATAACATTAAAATAATTAAAATAAAATAAAAAAAAAAAAAAAAAAAAAAAAAAAAAAATAAATAAATAAATAAATAAATAAATAAATATAAAGCAATATAGTCCGTAACACCCCCTCCCTCCCCCCCCCCCCCCCAAATAGCCTTGATTTAATTACCACTTGGGTCTCTGTTATAGTAAGAGTGAAATCTTTTTAACAGCTTGACAGAAATGGACAGACATTTCGAAAATGTGCCAAAAGGATGTAGTGTTACATAGAACATACTTATAAAACATTTCTTTTGACTTCATTTTTTTGTTAATCCGCAACCAACATGGGCACCTGATCTTGGCCAAGCCGATTTATATTTAATTGCTGTGGTAAAATTTAGAAATTTATTTCAAAATTAAGGATTATCTCCCTCATGCATAGCTTTGATCCTTCGACGTATTTGGCTCCAGTCTTTGGCACCTTTTTCAGCTCTTCAAAGTCTTTTTTATTTAAATATTTTGGATTTCCAACGTTTCGGCTTGAGCATCACTGAAGAGACATAAATTGTCTAAATGCGCATCTGGTGCATCAAAATTGGTACCGTATATGATTTACATTCAATGAAACTAATTGAAATTATAACGAGTTTGTTCAGTAGATTGTTTTTAAAGTAATTTTGGCAAATTTTCTTTCGTTTACAATTACAATTGGATGATGTAATTTACTAAAAGTAGTAGATAACCCATATTGCATCTCTTATAGATATGATTTATTTTAAATCGTTATTTAAACTATTTAAGTTTTGCATAAACTTTTTCCTCATATCTTAAAGTAATCTTAATATTCATTAATAGAGTATAATTCATTATTAATTAGAACAAAATAGATTTTTCACTGAAGAAATTTGCGTTAATAAATGAACTGGATTATCATTAGAAAGTACTCAGAACTCGATTGATAAATAGTGTGTTGCAACCTACCGTACAAAGAACTTTATTGGTCGCCAGAAAAAAAACTGATAAAACGGTGAATTGCTGATGTAGATTCTCAGAATCATTAATAGACAGTTGTAATCTTCAGTGAATATATTAAGTGAGAAAGTAAGGTAGAAGAAAGAGATTCCATAAATTTTTGGCAAAAAGTTTACAGCACTTAAAAGTTGAATTTTTTATTACATTTTCAACAGTGAAATACTGTAATTTATTTACTGAATAAAAGTGATATTCTGACACAGTGTGAAAGGATATCAGAATGGTATTCTCACAGTGTGAGAATATCAGAAGTGCGGCAAAACTTACGATTTTCCTTCCCTTCAGTGTTTTTTTTTTTTTTTTTTTTTTAAAATCCCCGGCCTGTTATAAGATAGAGTTAATGAGCCATTCTGACAGAGACTAATAGTTAAACCGCCAAAGTTTTTTCCATATATGTCGTTAAAAAATCCATGTAAATTACTACGTTTTTCAATCTCACAGTCGCTTAGCTATGACGTCTCAAGCGCTCAACAATGATGTCACAACCAATGACACTGTGTTACGAAAAGACATCTAGACATAGGGAAAATCTAAGAAAATGTAATAAATGAAAAATTTAATGTTTTGTAGATGAATATGGAATTTATTTCACTCGTGAGGCAGGATTTTTTTTTATATTTTCACTCGTGCTTCGCACTTGAGAAAATATCAAAAAATCCTGTCCCACTTCGTCGTGAAATAAATTCCATATTCATCTACAAAACATTGAATATCCTCTATATATATACTCCATTGTCCTTCAATATAGATATGTCTAAAAAGTATTTCTATTCAAGCTCTAAAATTTCTGATTACTAGAATCTTTAGAATAGACTTGTCATAATGTACTTCATGTGAGTCAAAACTTCCTTTATCTTATTAATTTCATGTCAGTAGAAAAGATAATTGACATATTGTCGGATGTATCGTAGGAATGTTAAATACTGATCACTTCCTCTAGCTCTGTTTATACGCATTGTTTTGGCGAGGAAGCAGTAACATAAATTAACGAAAGTATTCACTTGTAATTTCAAATAATACACATTTTCATCAAGTTTCAAATATCTGTCCATGCTTAAGGAAACTCTATGCACTAAAGAAAAAAAAATTATTTTGGATATTGACAAAATTCATTTTATGGTGCTGTAAGTACCGAGTTTATCTATTTTATTTGCGACAAAGGGTACGTGGTATATACCCCCAGGAAAAATGTTTAAAGACAAAGAAAAGGCCCGTATAGGAAGCAATTTCATTTTGTAGGGGCATAACAAATAATTTCAGTTGAGGGCACTACCAAGCAAAATAAATAAACAAATAAATAAATAGATAAATAAATAAATGAATTATAAAAAAAAAAAATAAAATAAAAATACGTAATTATTGAGGGGCACATACATAATGTACCTTTTTTCTATAGTATGCTATATATCGGCAAAGTTATTGGGAAGGAGGAGGGGGGGGGGCAGAAATCATTGGTGTGTACTCGAGTGGGAAAAAGTTATGCAAATAATCAATAAAAGAAAAAGATGAAGATAACGAACAGTGATCGATCTCAAAAAACCTACAAATCTGTGATGAGGGCATAAAAACGGATCCCTGGAAATTCCAGAGGTAGATCAGGTGCCAAAGAGGAGTAATTATCTCCTGTTGACCGGTCATACTCGCCGCAGACCCACCCAGTGTATTGATCAGGTAGACTCAAATTCAGTATAAAAAATGACAATTTGTATGAAATATTTCAGTCAAAATACGACCTAATGAAAGGTTATATTTGCAAACAAGGTCATTATAACGACCATAGACTTTACGAAATGCTGACTTAAACTGAGATTGTTGAAATTCCTGTAACATCAACTTGCTTGTCAGTAGCCTGCTTCGGTTGAAAAAAAAGAGATCGTATTCAGAGCATATTCTTGTGTATCGAATCAGTTGGGAGACATAAACACCATATGCAGGTGACACTGGAATATTGCTACATAAAAAAGGGACGTTAACAATGGAAAAGCTGAATACATCTCGTCTCTCATACAATTTAGTTATTAGTTGGCCCTTATAGTCTAAAATCAGTAAAACATCCAAATATGAAACAAATGTGGTAGAATCTGTGGTGTCCTTTGTTTCGAGTTCACTGGGATATATATCGAGTCGACATTTGAATGGAAGTACCGGTAACAATTGCTAATTGAAACAAGAGGATCTTAAATTATGCTATGAGGATTCAAAAGAAATCATTTCGTCAAAAAAAGGGGATATGAAATAGACGGAATGCATATTCGGGTGTTTTATTTGCTAGAATTATATACATGAATGTGTGAACAGTATCTGGAAGAAAGTGGTGCCCTTCATTTTATTGATATATGACATTTCAGTGTCATTACTAATAATTATTGGATATGGAAATATGAAAATAATCTCTTGTAATTCCTTAAAAAAAGCAGGTTGGGTTCATGGATTGATTGTAGGTTACATAGGAAGTTGGCCCATCATCCCTTGTTGAGATGTTTATGCACAGACATGTGTGGTAGCGCAGGACATTTACACACTATTATGCACACCGTCGGCCAAACATTTTAATTGAAGAAAAAACAACACAAGTTCTGTGCCACTTAACCTTAATGAATCATCCTTTTTCCCAAATGGAGAATAAGGGCTACTTTTGCTTCAGAAGTGAAATTATATGCACTTAAAAACTGTTTTGTAGGCTTAACATAAAATACACAAGGTAGCCCGATTCATAAAATCAGCAATTAAGTAAATGAAAATGCTCACAAAAACATATCTGAATTCACAAAGTAATGTATAATATACCCACAGTATTTCTTCAAAGTTGATCATTATAGTTAATCATATTATACTAGTAATCGGAAAATTATCAAATATCCAATAAATATTCAGGAAAAGTGAATAAAAACATCAACTATTCAACTATGTATATTCTAATTGAAAATTGATCAACAAATATATTTTAGGTTTAAAGTAATGTTATAGGTTAAAAAAAATATAAGTATCTAGGTATTCAAAGAAATAGGCATGTTTTTTTTTTTATACTTGTATAGGTCTCCCATTTCCTTCAATTATTTTATTATATAATACATAGAGTATAAAACGTGTTCTATCATTGCAAGACATCACAGATCACTTCTAATTTCATATCATGCTAATAACCATTGGTATCTAAGGCTAGATTCTAGAAATTCCTATTTCTCTAAAACTGTATTTTTTTTTTTGTAAATTCTTTTATAGGGTACAAATGTCAACTTTTTACAAGACCGTTTCTTGGACTTCGAAGAACCTTGTATCATTTAAGATGCATAAATTGAAAATTATTGCACGAAAAGTTTTTAATTTAAAGCTTATGTTGAGACTGTTTTAATTAAATAATAATTTTAAGAGTTATCCTTCCTGGATGAGGATCAGATATCCTTAAAAAATTGAAAATTGATTTTATATATATATATATATATATATATATATATATATATATATATATATATATATATATATATATATATATATATATATATATACATATATATATATATATATATATATATATATATATATATATATAGGTATTCACGATCAGAGAATATTGATGGAAAAAAATTAAAAAACACTTTTCTCTTGCTGAATTAATTTTCCTTCATATTATACATTAATGCTTAAAGTCTTTAGGTTTATATTATACTACAATTTTTTTCAATAACAGGCAAGCACGTTTTTTTGTGACTGTATGATTGCAAAAATACCGTTAATAGAAGGAGTTATTTTGGTTAATGTCCATTCACAAAATGCTGCGGACCTGATCTTCAAAGATGATAAGTTTGGAAAGTTTCAGCAATTTTCGTTTTTCTGTTTGTTAATATTTCATTCAGAGAATGGACGAAGATTTATTTTTGTAAATCATAAATATTTAAAAATTAATAAGTTTTGAATCTTCTTCAGGTATTTTTAACTGCGTAACAATTTCACAAGGAGATTTTTGAGCTTCCCTGTTTTTCTTCCATACCTTAAATTAGAAAAGAAATACCCCGACAACTACTGTAGGTTACTAGCCAGGGCACTCTGTAGCTTACTATAAAATCGAGAGTCGGTTTTCTTTATGTAGTTTAGTGTTCTTAAGCACGTTTTTAGTTCTCTTGTCAGACTTCCTTTCGGAATTTCCTCCATCAGAACAAGAATAAGTAGACAGGTGCTCTCCTCCAGACTTTGTTTGTAAGCTTCCTGAAACTCGTACATACAATAGGCACTCTGCAGGAAGTGATTGGACAGAATTATAATGGTATGTCTACTTAATTGGATGCTGTTAATTATATTTTGATGAATAGTTCTTCCTGGAACAAAGTCATTGTGATGCATACAGAAATTAAACTGTTGGAGTACATTACTGTTTGTCCTTTCGAACACACTTCTGACCCAGTCAGTGTCCTTACTGCTGTAGGCCACGAACGCATCGTAAACTTTCTCTTCAGCACGCGTCAATCCTACACAAGACGGAAAGACATTAAATCGTATGAAAAGAATTTCTACTTCTTCCTTGTATTTTGTCAAGAAAATAATGGCCATAATGAGAATCAAAACAAAAACCGATAGAAAAATCACTGGTTCGAGGATAAGGATGTCAATGCGATCAAATTGACAATGTAGGTTTTCTGAACTTAGCTCCTTCAGATGTCTGCCCTTAAAATGTTTTGGATATTCGCACTCCATATCTAGAAGGAAGAGATAAGGACGATATTTTGTTTGCGACCATTTGGCTTTGTTATTCACCAGTCGTAGTAAGGTTTCCATGACTTCTGTACAGGAACAGTTGATAGGATTGTAACTGAAATTAAGGAACAAGTGAGGAAAATTAACGAGCTTTTCTACAATCTCTGCACGTATTTGTGTGATGTTGTTGTGGCTGATATTAACATAAAGAGTACGCTCCTCCTTAACATTCCAGTCGTGGTCCAGAAGCAGATAATCTATTTCCTCTATGTTGTTGTATGATAGGTCCAGAAAGGACAAATTCTGAAAGTAGAATCTCCATTGATGAAAATTCTTCAAAGGTATTTGTTTTATACCGGAATAAGACAAGTTTAGGGTCTGAAGCTCTGGGTAAATATGGAACCCCGTCAGCATGAACATGTAACCACTGGACCGTGTTGAACTGATGCTCAAGTCGATTTCACGTAATTTTTGGTAGTTGCACCTTAATTCAAGCTTGTTGATGTCATAAATTGCTTTTGGAATGACTTCATTTAAAATAAAGCGGACGTAGCTGCTGTTAAGAGTATCACTCTCTCTATAGTCAAATATATAGGAAACATTCTTCAGAACAAGGCGTCTTATAGTGTCTTCCTTAAAACAGAATATATGTTTTGGCCAAATAACTCTTCTCTCAAGAAATGTAAGAAATTTTTGCAAATCTATTATAAATTCCACGTTTTCTATATGGAGAACCTGCATTTCATCGGAAAATGTATACAGGAATGGATTAAGTATTTCAGAATAAAAGTCTGTGCAAATGCAATTTCTAACACGGAGGAACAATAGGTTCTTGGCCTTCATTGGTGTCGGCAAGGAAATATTTGCGCCGTTTTCACAATTCAGATCAAAACCATATTTAAAAGATTTGTTAAATATATGAATCCTTAAAACATTAAAACTCCAGTCACCAGAGGTATTACTTCTTATGTGACAATCGAACATCTTCAAAGAGTGATTGGTGTTTGTGACGAAACAAAAATTTTCCCATCCTACCGGAAGCTCCTCGAATTCAGAATTACGCAAGTCTGTTGAAAACGTGGTATTTTTTCCAGAAAACTCAGAGAATATAGATCCAGCGGCAAGGAACACTGAGATGAATGAAAAATAGATTAGTAATTTCCTTAGACAAAAAATCAACATTTACAAAAGCAGTATTGAATTTTTTGCTTTCAACATTCCATAAAATGATGAATAAATCAGGAATTAATCCATGTTTGTTATGAGTCGTTGTTGTTTGTTTAAATCCGTAATCATAAGGTGGTAAAAAAAAGCGACCTTGAGTGAAAGTAAAAAAAAGTTATGAGCCAACAGGCACAAATAACTTCCCCTAGTTCTGTAAATCAGAGGTATGACATGAAGGCGAGGCTGGGTCTGTGTTAACGCTGTAAGTTATCTAGGATAACAAAACGATAGTTGTGTCAAGGAATGTATAATCCTTAAGGACCGTCTGGAATTCACAGATTCAAACAAATTTTGAAAAGTGTTATTAAGAAAATGATTGTAATCAAAATGAAAATTTTATGAAGAACTAGCAAAATAGCATTAAGCTACGAAACATTTAAAAATTAATTTCAATTGTTTATTCCAAACTTAGTGAATTTGGATGAAATAGAAATGAATTGTTTTCAAATTTTCGTTCATATTTGATACAATTAAAATTAATTTTTCAATTATAAAAATTAAAAAAATATGCTTCTCAAGATAGTGTGAATTTGGTCTACGTACATATTTGCCAACAAACCCATATAAGAGACCAAATTATCTGTAAAGTATGTATTAGTGTAATGACTTTAAGTATTGTTTTGGCAGTACTAGCAATCCTTGGAGGCACGTGTTAATTAAATGTTCAGTTTGTGATATGTTACACATATTAACATGTCATCTAAGAAATGAATTTATTTAAGTTCTTTATGGCACTGCATCGTGTCCACTTGAACAAACTTTTTTTTCCTTAATATTCTGTAAATGAATAATTTTCCAGTATGTACTTTGGGTATCAAAAAAAACAAAAACAAAAAAAACAAAAAAACAAAACAAAACAAAACAAAACAAAAAAACTAGAATATATGCATGTACATAGTTAATTTATAGATTTTGTAATTATGGACACTTATTAACCCCCACGGTTGTTTATATACCTAATGTTTAATCTAAAAAAGTTTTGTTTTTTTATTTAAAAAATGCTTTCATAAAAAAATCCTAGCAGGCAAAAGGCTTTCCGATAATTAATTAAACTAATTAAACTCATTACTCCGTATGATTTGACATTTCTATTTTGTCACCCTTTTGACCCTGCTCGACGATATGAGAAAATGTGGGAAATTCCCCCAAATTTTTAATTATTATGTTAAACAAAGAAATATATTTGCACAGACCTTATCAGAAGGCTACCACAAAGTGACATATTAATTAAACAATAAATACTTACTAATCAATACTTCATTGTCTTAATTAACCTTTTTATCTTTATTAATAGATTACTATAATTAGTTCCAAAACTATGACGGTAACACGCATTTCGTTTTAAACAAAATATTAAGTTTAATTTTTTTTATAGTAACAGAATTTGATTCAAAAAATGTTAAAATAAGAAAACCTCATGAGTATAATTGACATGGAAAAAACACACCTTTTTATCTATCTTAAAACACAAATTAATGCTATTTTTTTTTTTTTATTTTATTGCAATTCAATTGAAAAAATAAATAAAAATATATCTATCACAGTAAAAATGGGAAGTTGATGTACACATTCATAATCAACATAAGCAAACAACATAACGATTATTAGATAATGGTATAATGGTAAGTCTTCATTCTACGTGGATTTCATGATCTGAATAAATAGGCAAAATCTATTACAGAAAACACACGATTTTACAGTTAGCTGTAATTTACAAAAAGTAAATTTGCTAAATAAACCATACACAATACAACATAAATTTGATTTGTTCAACGCAGCTTGTAGCTACCTCAAACTGCAAGATTCGATGTTTTAAAAGTTTTTCAAAAAACAAAAAAACTTGGGAGGCATTTTAGAAAGCTGTTGTCGTTTCTCTTCTGTTTTACGGAGTAGGTGGACACTTTACATTAGCATTTTTTAAGACGTCTGGAATGACGATTTTATAAACTTCAGTAGGTTCGTCAAACTTTGACGCACCCTTTTCTCCCGATTCTATGTTCCAAACAGTTCTATGACGTGATCGTCTACAACAAATCAACACAACAATAAGTATCAGAAGGACAATTAGAATGAGAACAATAGCACCCAAACATGCAATGCTCTCCACCATCATCTTTTCCACGATTATATATTCACAATCCAAGTCTTTATTTACTATATCTAACAGTGCTTTTCCACGTAATCCTTCTGGGTAGTAACACCGCATATGTCGGACATATTTGTATCTTTGGTATGTCGGATGAGACCATTTTTTGTCGTCTTTAATCAACGCTATTAACTGTTTTGTAGTATCGGTACAGGAGCAGTTGATGGGGTTATTACTAAAGTCTACGTAGAGCTTTTTAGTTTGCACTAGCTCCTCTACTTGTTTAGCTTTTATTTCGGTAATATTATTATAGGATAGATTCACTTTTAGCAAAGGCACATCCCAAACATCAGCAAGACTATCAAATCTGAACTTTTTTATTTTGTTGTAAGAAGCATCTATTACTTGTAGATTTCTAAGGTAGTAGTACCACTTGGTGAAAGAATCAGGAATCGATTGTAGATCTGAATGTGAAACATTGTAAACAGAAAGTTCCGGGAAATACGAGTTTTTGGTAGATGCTATTGGTGCAGTACTTCTGCCTTCTATGTATTTTAAGTTTCTAAATATACATTTGTGTTCGGCAGATGAGAGTTTCCTATTGAGGGCTTTGAAAGCCTCGCTAATTTGGTTTTTCTCCTGGGTAGACAATTTTAGTGCTGAGAAATTCAATTTTACATCTTTCTTTGAATCGGATATTTTATAAACAGATGTTTGAATGGTTTCGAGCGGTTTAACAAACGTTGTCGGTTGTTCCACGTCCAAAACCTCATACGTTGTATTTCTGTTGATGTAGTGTTGAATTGTATCTTCGTTCCCACAATCATAATCTTCATCAATGGGATTATTGACCAAAGACATCAGTTTTTTCACATCAACCACTACAACGTTACTTCTAAAAACATAATATTCCAATTGATCCGGAACACTATTTTCTTTTCCATATCCTGAGAAATAGTCTTCCAGTCGGCAATTCTCCACTGTTAACCCGCGCAGGTTTACAGCTTTCATTGGCCAATATAGGGATATTGTGGCAGAATCCTGACATTTTACACTAAAAGTGAATTTAACATTTTGTTTTGCAAGATGATTCTTCAGTTCTTCAAACTTCCATTTTCCAGAATGTTGCGCACTCACGAAACACTCAATATCAAACTGATGAGGGCGCTTCCTCCTTGGGGTACAAAATTGATCCCATCCAGAGGGAAGAATTTGTGACTTCTTTGTTGGATCCGATAGTCTGGAAGAATATACGTTTTTGTCCGAGGCCGAGAAAACAAACTGAACAGAAACATACAAAGTAAATAGAATTATTAGTCTGTAGGAACCCGTCGTCACTTGTATTTCGCGCAGGAATATGTTATAAGGTCTCATATTGACGAAGAAATATAAAAAGACGAACAATAGTGAAATCAACGTGTGTAAATCAGATACTTAATCCTATATATTGGTATAAAGACCACTTTTACAACCGAGAAATTGGGGAATGTCCCGTTTACATTACAGTAAATCCTGTTTTAACTCTTTGTTTGTCATCGTGGTTTCACTTTCCCTATCAAAAGTCATAATCATCAATCAAATCTTATAGCTGTCACGAAATAACACAATATCTGTGTTATTGTGTAGAAAACTCTATACAATTCATTCATCAAGAACCGGATACGTAATATGGACTCTATTAGAATGACAAATTACGAAACAAGGTGAGAGCTCGTACGTAAACTAGCGGTTATAAAGAGATCGCCGTCACACTTCACTGGCCACGTGATTTATATAACATAGGAGGTCACAGATCAGGAGGGTTAAAATTAATTAATAAATGTGGAAATATGTATACCTGTCACCACTTAAAAATATTTATAAATGCACAATTTTAAAATTTAAAATAAACTGCGTTGTAAATTTTTTAAGTTTCTTTTCAAATTTGGTTGCATGCTAAGAGAGCCTGCAGGGACAAAATAAACAGAGGATATTCAAAGTTTTGTGGCATGAGACAGGTTTTCTAAAATATTTTAACTCGTGCTTCGCACTCGTGAAAATTTAAAGAAAAACCTTGTCCCACTCTCGTGAAATAAATTCCATATCCAAAAAAAAAAAAAATAAAAAAAAAAAAAATAAATAAATAAATAAATAGATAAATAAATAGATAAATAAATAAATAAATGAATTTAAAAAATTTTAAAAAATTGAATTTTCTTTTTTTAGTTCATTTCCTTTGATTTTTTTCCGTCTTTTTTTTCGTAACGCAATTGCAAATGTCGTAGGCTGGGGACGTTACCAACTGTGTAATAAGTACAGAAACATTCCTCTCAGGAACAATTTGGTTTTGTTTACAAGGACATTTATTAATCTTTCTCTGAGAGACTTTATCATCCCGTGTCCAATTTTATTAAATATTGCATGTCCACTTGAGGAGGAAGTTAAACAAAAAAGTTTTTAAAAATATCAAATATAAAATATGCTCTACTAGTTAATAACGGACTGACAAAAACAAAGCATCATATGTTGAAGAATACACATAATGAATGATATTGACCTTTGTTTGGACCCTAAAATGTTTTTGATTAATATCCATTTTCTAATGAATATGTTTAAGATGTCTTAAGCATTCTTCCTGTACGTTGATGTCCGTATCTGGCTGTCTTGAAAATTAATTTCTAAACAAATGCAAGGATTTATGACCCATTCTTCCTGTATATGGATTTGTAATCCATTCTTTCTGATCAATTTTTTTCTGTTCAAGGATAAGTGATTCATTCTTCCTGTATATGGATTTGTGATCCATTCTTCATGTACAAGGATTTCTGATCCATTTTTTCTGTTCAAGGATTTCTGACCCATTCTTTCTTATCCATTCTTCCTGTATATGGATGCCCTAACGATATATTTTCCCTTTCAGGACCATTCTTTCCAAACATATATGTCCCAAACACAATTCTTTCTATCCATGAACATCTGGACCAGTCTTCCTGTACATGTATGTCTGTCTATTATTCCTGATAATGAATATCTCAGCTATTTCCCTACAATGCTGATCTATTCTTCCCAATAATAAACGAATGAGCTATTTCCCAGCAATGACTATCTGTCTATTATTCCCTTCAATGAATGTCTGAGCTATTTTCCAGCAATGACTATCTGTCTATTATTCCTGATAATGAATGTCTGAGCTATTTCCCAGCAATGACTATCTGTCTATTATTCCCTTCAATGAATGTCAGAGCTATTTTCCAGCAATTACTTTCTGTTTATTATTTCCGATGTGAATGTCTGAGCTACTCCCCAGCAATTACTTTCTGTCTATTATTCCCGATAATGAATGTCTGAGCTATTTCCCAGCTATGTATATCTGCATTTTACCTATACATGGACACCAGGACGAATTTTTTTCTATGCAAAAATTTTACTTGGATGCCTTTACCATTCATACATTACATTTATATTAATATCAACTAATATTCCTGTAATTGTATGTCTGAACCATTCTTCATGGCCAAGTCTTACTGAATATGAATCTCTGGATGAATATTTCTGAAAATGTTTGTCAATTTCTGTAAGTAGATGTCTTATTCTTCCTTTACATTAATGTTTGAATATTCGTCCTTCCCGTATATGGATGTCAATCCCATTCTTACTTTAATACAGATATCTGATTTATTATAACTCTATAGGGATGTCAATCCCATTCTTACTTTAATACAGATATCTGATTTATTATAACTCTATAGGGATGTCTATCCCATTCATACAGATATCTGATTTATTATAACTCTATAGGGATGTCTATCCCATTCTTACTTTAATATAGATATCTGATTTATTATAACTCTATATGGATGTCAATCCCATTCTTACTTTAATACAGATATCTGATTTATTATAACTCTATAGGGATGTCAATCCCATTCTTACTTTAATACAGATATCTGATTTATTATAACTCTATAGGGATGTCTATCCCATTCTTACTTTAATATAGATATCTGATTTATTATAACTCTATAGGGATGTCTATCCCATTCTTACTTTAATACAGATATCTGATGTATTATAACTCTATAGGGATGTCTATCCCATTCTTACTTTAATACAGATATCTGATGTATTATAACTCTATAGGGATGTCAATCCCATTCTTACTTTAATATAGATATCTGATTTATTATAACTCTATAGGGATGTCTATCCCATTCTTACTTTAATATAGATATCTGATTTATTATAACTCTATAGGGATGTCAATCCCATTCTTACTTTAATACAGATATCTGATTTATTATAACTCTATAGGGATGTCTATCCCATTCTTACTTTAATATAGATATCTGATTTATTATAACTCTATATGGATGTCAATCCCATTCTTACTTTAATACAGATATCTGATTTATTATAACTCTATAGGGATGTCAATCCCATTCTTACTTTAATACAGATATCTGATTTATTATAACTCTATAGGGATGTCTATCCCATTCTTACTTTAATATAGATATCTGATTTATTATAACTCTATAGGGATGTCTATCCCATTCTTACTTTAATACAGATATCTGATGTATTATAACTCTATAGGGATGTCAATCCCATTCTTACTTTAATACAGATATCTGATTTATTATAACTCTATAGGGATGTCAATCCCATTCTTACTTTAATACAGATATCTGATTTATTATAACTCTATAGGGATGTCTATCCCATTCTTACTTTAATATAGATATCTGATTTATTATAACTCTATAGGGATGTCTATCCCATTCTTACTTTAATACAGATATCTGATGTATTATAACTCTATAGGGATGTCTATCCCATTCTTACTTTAATACAGATATCTGATGTATTATAACTCTATAGGGATGTCAATCCCATTCTTACTTTAATATAGATATCTGATTTATTATAACTCTATAGGGATGTCTATCCCCCTTGCTTGCTCTGCTCCCAGCTTGTTTCGTTATTAAGCTGGATTAATATTCTTTATCTTCAAAATTCAAATCAGATAACCTTCATCATTATTTGTCGTCCATGCTGACGTAGATTTGGATATATAGAGAATATTCAATGTTTTGTAGATGAATATGGAATTTATTTCACGAGTGGGACAGGATTTTTTGATATTTTCACGAGTGCGAAGCACGAGTGAAAATATAAAAAAAATCCTGTCTCACGAGTGAAATAAATTCCATATTCATCTACAAAACATTGAATTTTCTGTTTATTACATTTTCTTTGATTTTCCCTTTGCCTCTGTCTTTTCTTAACACTGTCATAGGCTTGACGTCATAGTTGAGCGGTTGAGACGTCATAGCTTAGCGCTGCAGTTATGTGATTGAAAACATTATATAGCATGGATTTTAGCAACATATTTGGGAAGAAATTTGCAGTTTTAGCTCTATCAAGATGCTTAGTTAATATATCTATCTTATGACAGGCCAGAAATTAATTTTTAATTACATGTACTTTGATTTCCTTTCACACTGTGAGAGAATATCATTTTGGTATCCTTTCACACTGTGAGAGAATATCACTTTTATTCAATAAATAAATCATGGTATTTCACTGTTGAAAATGTAATAAAAAGGTAAACATGATTTCTTGCGTACAATTTCTAAGAATTTCTACAGGTAATTGTCTAGAAAGATAATGCACTTAAGATAAAAATCAGATTGCTGGTAATGGAAACAAATGTTTTTTTCCTGAATGACGACATTGATAAATCTCAGATGTGTTATAAAAATAAATCAAATTATTGAAAAGCACATAAACTTTTCTTTTACGTCATAAATGTCACATTTTTTCATCTTTAGAACAGTTCCTCCCTTGTAATACAAATCAGTAAAGTCTCAGCTGGGTTTGGAGCATTCAGTGCCCTTGGTCTACAGTTTATCAGTTCATTTAACTTTAAAGTAGAAATCTAAAAAAAAAAAAAAAGGTGGATGAGCAGAATTTTCAAGAACCACTTCAAATTTTTGCAACAACATCTAATTCCCAGCTATGTTTTGTCCCCTTTTCTTTCGTATTTACCAGGTAAGGTCCTGTAACATAGAGCATAACCTTATAGTTGGTTAAAACAGTTAAACTTTATTTTATTTTAACTTTAAAATTTATTGAAACATGTAATATCCTGAGGCCTATTATGTTCATACTTTTGATGACTAAATATTGATAACAGTGAAATAACCCATGAAACATTTCATATAGAAATTTTACGTTCTTTTATACCCCCCCCCCCCCGCCCAAATTATACAGCAATGTTTGGATGTTTGGTTGTACTTGTACTCGTGGCTATAAGACTTAAGGTCATCTCAAAGGTTAAAGTAATAATAGCCGTTGAATCAAAGGATTTCAATTTCTAGCATATTTAGCAG